CTTCCATCATGAGGCGTCATAATTTTTCTAAATGAAGACCTTCTGACTCCCAGGGCAGAGTTTAAAAGGTTTGAATAATTTTTTCTGGTTAGCGTTTTTTAGCGAGTTAGTGTTCTACGGGGTGAGGTCGCTAACCCCACGTCCAATCCTCCTCCTTTATCCGGGCTTGGGACCGGCAGTAGCCCCCGGAGGGACTCCAGGCGGAGTTTGAATATTGGGACACTTACAGACTTATCACACACCAACATTCGCAGTGTTTTTCGACATTTGGGGCGCATCCGACTCGTTCGACATGACTGTTCTCTGGGTTCGTCGACTGAAGGTTGGTTGCCTGAGAACTTTATTAACATCTTGAGAGCCCTGTATACGAGAATCTCAGGTAGAGCAAGGGCATACAACCGTTACTCTTCATTGTTTCATTCGAGAAGTGGGGTTAATCTGGGTCGCCTATTTCCACTATTGCTCTTGTACTCTGCCATCAGTGACGTGCTGGAAATAGCTCTGATGGATGTAGGTAATAGTGGTGTAGATCTTTTGCCTGTAGAAAGACATTTGGTATTGTTTTGCTGTGTGATGATACACAAGACATGCGACCTGCACTTATCCAGTTGGCAATCAGTGTCCGAAGGTATGGCATATGCTTTCTACCTTTCAAGTGTAAAGAACTTTTACAAAACTGACGGAACTCTGAACTTGCACTCTTGATAGTGAGCAGATGAAAATAGCTGTATAAGTGCTGGTGGTTGTGTAAGCAATGGGATCAATTCACACATAGTGAAAGCCAGAGTGGTTTACGCCAGTCTTCGCCATCTTTCACGCCTTCGTGGTGTTACTCTGGCTGTAAAAGGTTGGATCTGCAACATATTGGTGAGATCAGTTTCGCTCTGTGCCTGTGAAACCTGGCCTCACCGAGTAGAGGATGGTAAACAACTCACCATGTTCGTGCATTGTTGTCTCCGAAGGTTTACTTACATTCGGTGGCAACACCATGTTGGTAATGTAGAGGTTCCGTATCGTCTGTTCGGGAGCAGTGACGATAATTTAATCCGCGTCAATATCTTGAAACGCCGACTTCGATGGCATGGACATGTCGTTGAGGCTGTACTTCGCCAGTCAATCATCTTGATAATCGTTATTATATAAACTGCAACGGTGTTTGATATCAGAAGGCGATAAAAAGCGGCAACTATAGTTTGCAAACAGTTTGCACAGATAACAAAGTTGCAATTTTATCTAGCGAATTGGGACAAAGAGGCGAATCGGTGTATGTCAGCAAATACAGATGCAAATTTGTAGTCGAATTGGATAAGTTGCGGCTAGATAAGGCAGAGGCAATTCTAACAACTAGGTAGTGTTAAAATAATGAGGTATCTAAAGTATGTTGCTTGAAAACAACACATATAGTAGAACATTGTCCCATGAAGCTATTAAAAGTCGCTGATAAGCTTCTGGGATCAACGCTTGTATTGTAAAATATAAAACTGGTTAAGTTGAGATAATTGTTGAATGTTAAGAAGTACCAAAAGACGTTTCGTGTGTATGATTAATTCGTAGGTCGATATTAGTGTACTTATCACGTTATGTTCCTTTAGTCGTGTTCACCAATGTAAGATTAAGATTCAATTGGATGTTAGTGGAATGACAATCCTCACTTAAAATCGTGAGATATTATGCTGTGATTTAATCTATCAGAGTTTATGTGGAAGTCACATCTATATTTTCAGTATTATTATCTACAAACAGCTTTTCGGTACTCAAGTGAAGTGAACAAACAATTTGTGTTTCTTCAGGAATGCAGTTATACACAAGTTCATGCCGACTCGTCCTATCATGACAGTCAGAGTCCGTAGCTATTGAATTCGGAGAACACATTTTTGAAACGGACAGAGTAAGATATTCAACGTCACACATGAAGCTAAATAGCATGGCCACACCTGCATATTTGAACCATGCCGTTCAGGTTCCATCCTTTCGAATTCAGTACATTTGACTTTCTTCTTATCCTCAGTGTTTAATGTAGGTCTTCCCAGTTATGGCAATTTCGGATCCAAAGATCGTGTGATTAAGAACCAATACCACAGTTCTAATCTCCCACTAAAATCAACGTGACGTTAGGTTGATACGAAACCAAATATGATTATAATGCGCCAGAGGTTACCAGCTGAATAATAAGAATCTTTCAGGTATTGACAAGTTGTATGACAGATTAACATCACGGAAGCGACTAGTGGTCGGAAAGCATGTCATAACTTTAAAATGTTTTGTTTTATTCTCAGTAGTTGCAAAGTGAAAATATACGCAGGAAATATTCAAGAATTGTACAAATTGGAACGGCCATAATGTAGAATGTTTCACTGGTAAGATACTCTAACAAATTACATCAAAATGTATAACAGTAACCAGTGGTCAAGTGCTCAGCATAGGAACAGTGTAAGTATTTGGTGCTAAGATCATTACTAATCAAGTGAAAAAATCAACAAGGCAAAAAACTTTAATAGCACTATCTTTAATTTAAAGTTGATAGTCAGTTGGTGTTCATCCTGACATACTGTCTGTATGTGTTGATTTCCAATTACGTCTGTATTAGTAGACTAACTAAGAAAATAGAATTGTGATCGTGAAGAGAAGGAAATCCCAACTGGCGCTCCAGTTAATTTTTCAGCTTCATTATAGTTCATTTGTTTTCGGAGAGATTTTCTCGTCTTCGTTATTGCTTAACCGTGATAAGTTTCAACTCCACTGCTGTCGTCAGAAATTCTTTCAGTGTGTGACAGTAATCAAAGTTATGCTTAGTTGAGTACATCTGCGAAGGATGTGTTCGAGACGTAAAGTTCCGATGTGGAATAAACCAATTATTCACGATTTTACCTGCAGATTGGTAAGGTATAATTGACAGCTGCAAGTGTCAAGTTCTGTATAAGATGGAAGTCAACTTATTTTAGTTTGAGTGACTATGAGTTGTTGAAATCGGTAGTTTTTATGAGTCAGACTTATAGGTGTCATGGTACTGAACTATATTTTCAGCCAAATAATATTTTAAAGGATATTATACAGCGAGTGCTGTTTGTGTGATTATGAGGGAGAGCATAAACTGTAATCAAAGCAATTATAGCTTCCAACTCCTGTTTACGATAATAGCATGGACATTTTTCAGTGTTAAGATCAATTCAACGGCAGCGTTTTCAGTTTCCAGGAGACTTGGTCGACCGTTTACATTGATGATTTGCACGAGTGAGTGTGTCGCCAGACTTCTATTTAGACTGACAAGTTTCCAGGATGTTTATTAGATGAGCAACTGATAGAAAAACATACGGAAATCGTCTATGTTAGATAACGATAACCACGAGAAAACAGTATTTTTCATTGAAAATTGTCATACAACTTATCGACTGTGTTAGCATTAATAATTTCATCAAATTTGTTACTCATATAACATAATTGGTATGTCTTGACATTGTTCTATGACGATATCCGCAAACCATTATGGATAACTAGTTATGGTGTTGAAAGGGTATTAGCTGGTGCAAAATAGATGTCGTTTAAGATGGTAATACTTTATACATTAAAAAAAGTCGAATTTTAAGTGCTCAGAAGTGTTAGACGTATAAAGTGGTTTGTGCAACATTAGGAAATGTGTATTGTCAGGTTACAGTACAAACCATGACGTAGAACTATTCTTTAACTCCTTACCAGCCGTAAAGGTGGACTCCAGAGTTTCTATTTTGAGTACTTGTATAACAGACAAATAAACTACAGTTAAGTTAATACATTATAGCATATAATATGTAGTAATATATTTCCACCAGTGCAGTACGATATATTAATGCGATGACTTTGTTTTCGCTCATGGTTTTAACTATGCGTAACGTCTTGCTAGATTAATAATGTCACGGGCGAGCTCGGACCTGAATACATAGCGAGACAAAGACCTCGCGGGTGTAGTGGAAAACGTTAGGGGCGGTTAAAATTATAGTCAAATTCGAGGGATATTAAGATATTATGATATAACGCGTATGTAATCTAGGTTAACGTGTAAGTTATCATAGGATACGACAATTGAAAAAGACTGGAAACAAAATAAAAAATTCGAGGCACGAGTTGGGGAACCGCAGTCAGGAACATGACGAGGATAATATGGAACTTCGAAAAAGGTTGCTGTTGATTTACTATAAATAGAGTCCGGAAAAGTACGTGGAAATCAGGAAGGCACTGACCGAACAACGATCTCAAGGGATGGTTCATGGTCTAAAACAAAATAAAATAATCAGTGAAGGAATAAGGTGAATGATTAGATCTGGATAACTACTCGATGCTTGTTTACATTGACTGCTAGCCTCTGTGTGCTTACGTTGAGTGAGCGACGTATTTACTAGTGGTTGATGTTTTAACAAACCCGTTCCACTGAAGCATATAAATGTCACTAAAGGTACTTGATGAACCATAATACCTATTCATGACTATAATTGACCAGCTATTAGTATCGATCGGACTAGTAAACCGACTATTCAAACAATAAAATAATACTCGTGAGCATCAATGCACAGACCAGTAGAATAAAAAAGTTGAAAATCAATCGATGAAGTTTTGAGTGAATAAGGGGGCTGGTAAAGGGTCAGATTTATTTGGTCGATCTCACCAACGCATGATTAGGGTCTTGGTATGTGTTAGTACACTTGTCAGCCTTCACAGATTGGGCAAAGTAAGGTAACTGCATTTAATGTTTCCAGTGATCGCCAAACTTCTAGAGGTATTTTTAAGAGGCATCGATTTATTATTCAGTGTTAGTTTTACTATTTTCACTACCAAATATACCGTCTAAGAGTCTGACACACTTGCTGATCTTTAAAATGGAATCTGAAAACCAATAATATTCAGTAGCTATTTCATAGGTAAAACTAACTTAGTATGCAGAACATTAACACTGCACTTCTGCTTTCGATCTCGGAACGAAAATTACTTTTATCATACCTGTTATTGAGGATTGCACGTTTTGTTTGATTCGCCCGGATACAACATACTTGACCTTAGACATGAGGTCTGAATTCCAGTCTACTCACGTTAATTGATGTCTGAATCTAGAGTCCAGGTTATTAGCCCGGTTAAAAGCTTTTTAGCTGGTGGGTTCGGTGGAGCATGTTGCATTGCAATTGGTCACCCTTTCGACACAATAAAGGTTTGCTTTACTAATTGTAATTGAGAGTCTGTCTTCTCCGTAGTTCTAATTTAATATACACATTAATTTTGTCGTCCCCATGTTAGCTAAAATTATTACAGATTTAGCATTTCTATCTTTCTAAAAACGGATGTATGGCTCGTAGTACATTTGTATCAGTCCTATTATTCTTTATTTAGTAGTCAGAGATAGGTATTATTTGAAAAGTATATCTAATACTCAGATTACTAAATATTTATTTCCACCTCACTCCTGCAAACGCATTTTTTCACAGCTTGTGATTGTCGTGGTTTCGTTTCTATACCTGTTTTACCTACCATAGTTCTTGTTAATCATATGTTTTATCACTTCTCAGTACTCAGGTAACCATTACTTTGGCGTTCGATGGTCTGTGGTATATTTTTATGTGAAGCACTCCTAGGTAGTGCTCATTGATTTCAACTTTCCTAAATCATAATGCGACCACAATAGTTGTTTGATTCATTTACACTATCGCTTTACAGTCTATTAAATTTACTCGTCGCAGCGTAGAAATTCGTATTTTTAAAATACCAGTATATTTGTTAAAGATATCGTACATACAAGAGGAATTCTTATGCTTAGTATAGTTCTAAAAAGATGCTTACAATACGAATAGATTCTTAGTCGTTCCAGTTGCGTTCTTTATAAGATTGTCCTATGAAATCTAGATTATAAGCTCTGAGGTGATTCGTTATTTCAGAGGCTTTGACATCAAGCCTAGACCGTTCAAAAGTTTTCTCTTAAACGTCTGAACTTCCTTTTTACGTTAAAATATCCAAATTACTGACAATTAACCGGATCGCGCAACCTGAGTATTCTGTCTAGCTGATGGTGTTCTGTTTGTTATTTGATTTCATATTGTTTCCTATATTTCACTAACTTTCCACCACCTGTTTTCCGGCGGTTTTTTAATCCCGGAGAAGTATATTACCATAATCAGTCATAGTGTTCATTCGAGCGAACCTATTTAAAATATGGTTTTTTGTATAGGAATTCATAATTAGTAGAAATCTTATAGATGCTATTCTGCCTGTAAGTTATCAAGTTGTTTTCTTAGGTTCGACTTCAAACAATGCCTCACGTAACATCAGGAACAGCGCCTATGTATTATGGGACTTTTGACTGTGTCAAGAAAACTGTAGCGGCTGATGGTATCTTTGGACTTTATAAGGGGATGGGGGCACCCATAGCCGGAGTGGCTCCTGTATTCGCCATTTGCTTTTTTGGGTACAATTTAGGTAAGCAGCTTTTTGCCAAGGATCCAATGGATTTAAGGTACATACGATTTTTCACGTGATTACATTATTGTAGGAAACATGAAATTTTGTTTGCGGGAATGTTCTCTGGCATTTTTTCAACTGCAATCTTGGCTCCAGGAGAGCGTATAAAATGCCTATTACAAGTAAGACTTTGGTATAACTATGTTATCTCAGCTATTTGTGTTTATTTAGGACTTCACAGCATCCTGTGCACGTAGTCACGTATACTAAATATAATTTCACACAAATGATAAGGCCGGATTTGTGTTACTGTTTATTTTTTCACCCTCAAAAGTGGTTGAATAAATTACCGTATGAAATAGGGCTCTGGTTGACTATCATTTTCAAATAGTTTTTGGGCGACACATTTTAGATGTTACGTAAAATATGTTAGTGGAGTTTGTTCTATTTTCGAAAAACTCCTTGCATACAGAACTATGTAGCCTGAGTTGCTTCCTCATTTCCTGGTAGAGCTCCACATTCCTAGTTGCATCTTTCAATTTTGAAAAGGATGGTTTGTAAAATGTTAAGTTAAAATTTAACTACACAGTCTTTTGTTAACCATCAGTTAGGGTTTGTAAAAATGGATGAAAGTTAAGAAAATATTTTGGTTCTGGGGCTATGAAATACGCATTACAATGCGTATCACCTAGTTCTACACTGATAATAGCCCATAAATCAGAAATCCCTTTGTCAATGTTTACCTTTGTGTTTCTCATCTATTCTTAAAGATTGCCTGTTCAGTGGTCTAAATGCACGACCAAAATAAGTTTGGACTACTAAAATCAAAAAGTACTTAAGAATAGTTTGGTCAGCAACAATTTTCAGTGTTTTGGTTGCCTTTGAATTTGCTATTTACTTGGTTACATATTCTTACATTTGAGTATTTTCTGGCCAATAAAACCCTAGCTCGGTAAGGCGAAGAAATTACATAGATCCGTAATGTCATTAGTTGCTCGTCTGCTAAGTATGAGATCATTTTTTTGCCAATGTAACCCCTTTTTTCTGTTCCGAGGTAGTTAGTTATTCAAATACTTAAAATCTGTAGCTGTGTATTTACTAGTTCTCCTGATGATTACTTTATCTCAGTAGATTTTAAATTACGGTATCTTTTCGACTCGAAAAGTTACTCTGGGGAGTTATTTCATATTATTTTGAATAATTTTTAGGTTCAGTCGAATGCAATTGGACCTTTGAAGTATAGTGGACCGGTTGATGTTCTTCGTCAGTTGTATCGCGAAGGTGGGATTCGAAGCATTTTCAAGGGAACAGCTGCAACACTTCTGCGAGGTATGGTCACTTAACTGTATATTCATATAGTCCCCCAATAAAATCAGAGTTAAAATTTCCCTAGAATATAGAAAGCAAGCTGTCATAAGTTATGTCCCGTGACCGTAAATATTACATATATATCGGCAGTGGCCAGTCCTGATAACCATAACTCATTTTTGGTTTTAATATATTTATCGTTTAAAGATCCCCGTCATATTAAAAGACTAGTATTTGAACGAAGAATATTCTTTTCGATAAATTCTCTTCAGGTTCTACAATTAATATTTTCCACATTAGGGAAAGTGTATTTTAAAATATTGAAAATAAAAAATTTTGCACCCCCTCTATTGTGCAAATATATCCATCGGTCCAAGTTGCCATACCTCGTTAACACAAGAAGATGGACACTGGATTCATAAAAGTAGTTAACTCAGAGGTGGTAATATATAAAAGAAAGATTGCAATAAGGATATAGTACAGGAAGAAAGAATTAGTTCGTAGAAAGAAAATATTAAGCGATTTTAATCTCTTAGTTTAAGGGAAGACAGAGAGTGTATACACCTACGCCACTGTGATCGATTCTGAACCATGTCACTCAAACGCCCTGGTATGGCCGAGAGCGGAGTGGGTTCGCCCTTCCTCTCGAAATACTCTCACACGGCCGCGCGTATACAGCCTCTGCCAGGGAAGTCCTCATTGCCTTCTCGTGGCGGGGGTATTGTTTACGAAAATGAGAGGACGAAAAGCGAATGTCCGGCGCTTTAACCGGATTCCAAACCAATGGTGCATATGGGCACCAGTATCCTGCGGGAACAAATGGCGTATGAACCAATCGTCGGTCACCGTCTACCATGGGACTGCATCTCCTTACGATGCTCCACTGCCTTGTGGGTTAGACCTTTAGGTCAAAGGCTCGGGGTGTGGCCCCCTAAGAGAACCACCTGCTTCGGTCTGGGCACCCGGGCAGTAACGCAGCCCACACGCAATTAATGAACTGAAATTGTGTGGCGCGTATATGTTTGGCGCACTCCTATACCAATATATATGTGTTCAAATAAAATAAAATCCAACCATTGGTTACGATAGTCACGCGAACCCCAACCAAGTAGTTTGCACCTACCAACCTCTGGTTAACCTAATAAGATTTAATGAATTTACAAAACCTTACAACTCTATATTGAAATCACTTGGTCTTTGATCAGTCTTTATGTTTCGGTTATTTTCACTATTTGGAGCACTTCTATTTGTTACTTATTTTTTTCGAAGTTATCTTCGTTATTATCTATGTGGTTTGTAATTCCATCTGTGATAAAGCACATTGCAACCTGTTCATTAATAGTTATTCATCATTGATGACTTAGACGAATATTGACATAAGTCACTTATCAATAACCGATCATTGTTTAAATTTCTTATATTTGACAAAAAACGGATAATAAATTTTTCATTGGTATCCTTGTAATAATTAATTTACTGTAAAAGTTTACAACTTCGTCTACCTTAGCGTAAGTTATTTAGTCAACAAAATCAAAAACTTTGTTTATATTTATACAAGTTTTTATGAAATGAAGTCAACTTTTTAAATTAGTTCAGACATACTATGCCATTTTTTTTTTCGATTAACGTACATTAAATTTTAAAAAAAAATAAATAATTCAATTTATTACAAATATATGTAAAAAATCAGGGGCTGGCACTTATAAATAGGCAATACGCTATTCATTTGTACTCTCATGAATGTTACATTAATGTATTTTGGATATCATTAACGAATCGAACGTGATATTTTTTTTACATTAATCTTTCTGATGTTTGCTTTCTCAGTCGAGTTGATATTTGGTTAAAAATAAATATATCAGATTAAAATCATAGTCAGTTACTTCCCATATAACCGTACAAGACATTTCTACCGGTTGATTGATCATATTTACTTTAATTATCATGCTGACTAATTAAAATAACTATTATTCATTTTACACTTATGTTAGATGTCCCTGCATCTGGAGTGTATTTTCTGAGTTATGAATTAATGAAAGATGCATTAAGGAATCCACACTCAAAGTGAGTGCTTTTGTTGTAGATTAGAATTTTTAAAATTTGTAAGTTCATATCGGATGTGATTTTTGGTGTAAAAATATGTCCTTAAAATGTTCATCTGAGTATTTGTGTGTTCATTCGATTATATGTTACTAAGTAACTTTTTATTGAACTTTAACATAGTTCATGAAGTAAATTTCTAATTACTGTGTTGCAACTTAGTGTTACTTAAGTTTTATTTCACTCTTATGTATAACACGAGAAATTCTCATCATGATGAGTCAAAAAGGGTGACACAAAAAATCATCCTATCAAAACCAAAATCAAGATAATGGAGTATATCCAAGTAAAAACACTTAAAATAGATATCATTCTTCCCAAAAGTAAGTACAGTTTGGTCTCTAACGGCTTCTTGTATTTTAACGTACCAAGCTGTTGATTTTGCACGATTTTTATGACTACCTCAGTCAGGATATTATTCCAGCTCTCACACAAATCGAATGATTTGTGTGGTGCATATGTATTTGGTGCCTCCTTGTGCCAATATTTATGTGTATAAATAAATATGACTATCTAATAAGTCATCATGTGTTAAATAGAATCCAACGAAAATATGCGTTGTATTGTGTCACAAATTAACTGCTCAAGATTTTCTAGGCTACTTAAACAGACTCCTTATCCGTCCACTGGATTTAAGCTGGAGGTTCATTTCCACTGTCACTTTCTTGAAAATGCTGTCATTTTCTGGGGAAGACTATGAATTCACAGGCTTATGAGAGCATTTCGTGTAAGATTGGACTTTCTCAGCTTTCCTTCGCAGATGTTTTGGGGATTACATATCCACTTTGATATCATTTTCGAGTAAGATAAATTACTTTTTCATTATATTCTACCTGTAACTTTGTCAAACAATTCTGTAAGTTTAGTAGGTTAGGTTACTGATAAGGAGGCTGATTTTAGGTGCATTGTAATGAACTTTGTTAAAATAAATACAGAAAATACCGGTCGATAAACGATGTGCAATTATACGAGACACATTTGAATCGACATCAAAGGCCAGTTCAACTAGGCAGTGAAGTAGGTTTTTCTTCTATTAAAGTGGCTTGGACTTCACCTGAGATCGGGTGATTATTCACTATGCGGGATAGTGTCTGCATAATCAAACTTTTCAGTAATCAGTACTACTTATTAAAAATACCCATAAAATTATTACTCAGAACTGCAGTCGATTTTCAAAGTATAGAGATTTTATTGATTTAAGACCAAAAGCGGCTAACAAGGTTTTATAACCGGTTGATAAACTCTGCCATATTTCATACTGTGACGACTTCTGCTGGCTCGTTTCGCAATTTCCCCACAGCGTTTCTCCGCAGGAGTCAGTGTTCTGGAAGTATGTGTTAACTTTTTTGGTCCTCTGAAAGTTTGTACAAGATATTGTATTGGTAGAGGTTCAAATTCATAGAGCGTCTTTAAATTTTCAATTACTGTTTCGATACTATCTTAACCAGTTCCTCTGATTATTCCTTCTCGAGAAGATAGGTAAGTAGCATTGTGTAGATGCATCAGAAACACCGAGTATTAAATATTAAAACATGGGGTGGAAAAGGTTGACAACATGTGGTGCAGGTATTTGCTGGATGTTACCGTGGTTAGGGGGCATTCAGAGCTGTCAATTTAAATCTGATATTTAATGGGTCACTAACAGAATTGATACCTCAGATTGTAAGGGGAGGTCCATGTCCTCAAATTAGTTGCAATCCAAACATAAGGACAGACCCCAAAACCCGAGTATTTTAACGTCATTTTCTCTGTTCCTGGGTAGCTTCTATAGTCTTCATAAATATGTATAGCAGCAAGCTCTGGATTAATGCAGATTTCTCTACTAGATTAAATGTGGTACTGGAACTGAACCACTAGTTATCGATAAACTGTTCACCATTTTTAACGGCGAAATCTACTTTCATAAACTAGATCTAAATGATTTATCTACTAATCCGAGTTGATTCATTATATGAAGGTTGATAAAGGTGAACCCACATCACGATTGTTCCTGTTTGATAAACTGCTGCTATGAAGACATCCTTGATAACCTAATGACAACTACTAAATAAACCTTTACTCAGTATCACAAGAGTGGCAGTCTATTTTAATCATATAATCATAGTTATACTATCATCAGGAAGATTATACAACCCACTGTCCACAGCATTGATGAAGTCTTGTTTGAGTTTCTCCAATTTAGGCTATTCATAATATGTGAGATATATGGTTGCTCATTAGAAGATCAGTGTTGTCCCCAGTAGTTCATAAAGTGATTTTGTATTTGAGTCGGTCTGAGATAAGTGTTTGTTTTTTGAATAAGGTCTTGTGGGTAAAAAAGTAAGGGGCTAAAGGCGAAAAGTACGTTCAAAGTGAGTCTCAATGGAGCAGGTGCAAGTTTTTTTTCTGCAAATCATCTCGGTTATTCTCATTTCGTCTCAATCGAAAGTTAGTTTCCTTTTCTTTTTATCGTTTACCAGGAATAATGAATTGAGTGTTGGTAAAACTCTCTTTGCCGGTGGTATGGCAGGTATCTTCAACTGGCTAGTAGCTATTCCTCCCGATGTTTTAAAATCTCGTCTACAGAGTGGTACGTTTTATTTTGAGATTTACAGATTCAGATTATTTTGCAAGATTACAGTAGGTGATTTCTTAATTAGTAAATTTTGTTCGGTTTTCTATACCTGTAAACATGATTTTTATCATAATCTGATGATCACCTTATTATATTTCACATGATCTTAGCTGTTAATCTGTTTGTAGTCTTTGTTCTCCTATGACCAACACTGAGATATCTAATACATTCCTCGTAGTTAAATAATATTATTGTTATTTATATAATATTTATTGGATTTGATTTTTTTCAAATATCGATAAGAGTTATGACCATGAACATGTGTATATGATGCAGGCGTATATTGTTTAGATCCTTATGTTTATAGGTTTTCATTTCAATTGTATACTCTAATCTCAGTTGATTCTTGATGTTTAAATGCGTTCTTAACAATTGTAACAGTTGTAAGGATAGTGTGAAACGAATTATTTTTAAATAAACAAACGTGGATTTATAATTCTTTAAGGATATAACGGGTTGTTAACAATTAGGTAATTTTTGAGAACGTGTTTACTTTGAAGAAGTTAGTCAGAATCATCATGAGGCTGTTTTACTAAACATCTGTTGTGTGTACTTTACTAGTTCTACCATAATTTGACACGTCCTTGATTTGTTTTTAATGTTCTAACTAGATTCTTTATAATTTTTCGTTTACATTGAAATAAGTTTTGAAATTTGACGCATTAAAGTTACTTCATTCACTAGGTATTTGGTGAGGTGCACTAGGTGTGAAACCTAATGATTCTACTTAGTTAATTACCCAATCTGAAGTAGGGTTTGAACATGAGACTTAGTAGCCGAAAGTCGAACGCCTTGACCACTAAGCCATCGCTCCGCATCTAAATAAGTTGGAATAGTTTTTGTTAGATGTAGTTAAAAAATCCTTTATTTAATAATTTTATAAAGTTATTTCACTTAATCAACTTTAATAAAATAAGAATATGGATAATATGGGTTCATTTTATTTGGTAGATTACTTTCAGCTGATTACAATCGTAATCGTATCAAATGACGATATAACATCAAATGTAGGCGACCGAAAAGTGGAAATGGCAATGATTATCAGTTTTATATATGTATAATTAGTTTTTTTATCTACTCCATTTGTTTTGTGATAGTTTTTAATAAACAACCTGGCCGATGTGGATAAATTTATCTACTTCATCTCTAGCACAACCACTAATAGCTCCTCATGTGACTGAATTACTGATACAAGCTCTAAATAAATTGTTATCGTAAAAAGTATCTTAAGTTTCCAGGAAGTCATCATTTGTAATAAAACGAAATGTTAACGCGAAATAAACATGATTAAATGACATTTAGCGGATAACAGGATAGGTCACTGACATGTAAGTGATATTAATAGTTAATTTATTAGACATAATTCTTATTCGTATCAGAAAGAATGTTCAGTGTTGTTTTAAATTACCTCACAGTCTACAAAATCTATCCACAAGATAAACTCTCAGTACTTATAGGTTTTGGATGGTGATATATTCTTGCCTATATTAGACAAAAAATGTTCGCTTTTGATATCTTCAATATTTCATAAAAAGTACCACACTTTGATGTTTTTAACTATCAAAGCTTAGATGGCGTAATGATTTCTTTTAGTTAAAGCTCTAGTGGAATGATCTCATAATGGAGTTTTCTGAATTTAAATTTTCTTATATCTTAAATGTAGCTTCTGAGGGTGTTTATCCCAATGGAATTCGGTCGGTATTCTCTGAACTTATTGCAAAAGAAGGCTTTTTGGGATTGTATCGGGGTATGACTCCGGTGATGCTTCGAGCATTTCCTGCAAATGCTGTAAGCTTTGATTGTATTATCAACTGAAACGTAATATCTTGTTTTTATAAGTGGTTTATATTTTACCTTTAAAATTAATAATTATTTAGTGTCGTTTGGATTCTCATATATCATCTCTTCTACCACTAAGATGTAAACAGACAAGTTTTCTGGAACTCGAACTGTACTCGCTATGACCTGTTAAAAATGTAAATTGGAACTTCATTTAATAGTTGTTTATCACTAGTTGAGGATCGCTTCTATAAATGGCGAAATCCAGGAAAGAATTTACATCATTTACTTCCCAACGATCATCGGTTATATCCGTATCTGGAAAGTGCATTGATTTTGTTCTATTTACGCTACTTTCACCAAAAGACTAAGATAAAACAAGTTTTCAAGTGTACAAAGGGAAAATATTGTCGCTCTTCACTAGTCACTTTCTTGTATCTCGAGATATTCATTGCTAGTCAAAATAATCTTGATGCTGACACATTGGTTGTTTATAACTCTAACACCGATCAATTGTTGTGTCATTTTACATAAGCACGACAATAGTCTAGTTGATGGGGAAACTCTGAACAACAAATCTCATATGTAAGTTCATTTTAGAAGTATGTAGATGCCTCAGATTTATTTCCGAACAGTTCATCCCAAGGCGTTTTGTTTATTATATTTTCATAACATAACATCCAGCTGACTAGTACCGAATAGAACAAAATACGCGTCTAAGACTCAACTACTAGCCTCAATCCTTCTATTTAAAATAAGTGTGCTTAGATTGGTATGATTTGCACATTCAGTCAACACTACTAAAAATGAGATTATTGAAAAATTCAGTTTATCACTACAAACAGTTGTAATTGTGATATTTTGTTTTACTTATTCTGTTCTGTGAGCTCTAAGTTATTATATCTCAATTTGTCGCGATTTCTACCTTTTCAGGCATGCTTTCTCGGTTACGAAGTTGCTTTGAAGTTTCTGGATTATGCATTCCCTAGTCTGTGATAATGTTTCGGTGTGATTATCTTAATACATTTGTCAATTGATTTTGAAGTCGGGTTACTTTGATTTCTATTTACAGAGTGGATTATTATCTTCCGTTCATGTACATTTTTGCTTAAAAATTTATCAAGATCAGTATTATCATTGAGAAACATTGGCATTCTGTAAATTGCGATTTCGAAATTTTATTTTACTAGCTACTGTAAAATATTTTTCAATTAATTGATCTATGATAACTTATCTAATGTTCTTATTCTTCGTCGATTCAATTCCCAAGCGTTCTTTAACGCTTTTTTTACTCCCCAGTATATAAGTAACTTCTGATTTATTTCTTAGCGGCTGTTTATATTCAGAACAATTGGTGTTTAGAATCGCTATGCAGCCACAATGATATCAGTTCCATGATCCACTCCCGCCTAGTCGGTGGCGTATTCAATTAGTAATAATCCGGTCGGTGTCCAGTAATTCAGACGAAGATTTAGGTCTTTAGTGTTATATCATGTTTAAGTCACAGGCTTAGTGGACTTATATTCGTCTGTTTTCGTACCTGAACAAATGTACTATTTTGGCTAGTATAGTCAATCTGTCCGGAGTATGTTGTGTACGTGTGAGCCATACAGGATAAGAGTACAGTGGAGCAGATCGTTTTACTCTGTTTTGTGCACGTGAGGCTTAGCCATTCGGAATAGGCGACATTACGGTTTCTGGGGTTGGGTTATATGTTCTGAAGTAGGGTATTGAGTAAAGACGTGAGGCTGGTCGGCGAGGTAATAGGTCTTCATTATGTGAGGTTACCGGATGTAGGAGTAAATCAGAAGACAACTGGCTTTCCGAGTTGCCTGTCAGTGAGTGGTGTGGGGACTTCTTGGTTCGGTCCACTGCGAGTGCGGTATTTTACGGCGTAACCCAAAATCGGCTATAGCATTGCAGATGTTCATATTCTTCATTTTCTTTTTGTTTCCGAAAACTTTCAGCAGGTAATTCTGTGGTAAATCAGACAATGATCAAATATTAACCTCTGATTACGTATGGCTGATAGTGGTTGAAGTTGCTTCGAAATGATGTTCACAGACTGGAAGTTGACTTATACCTGTAAAAATAGACAAACTGATAGCAATTCGTAGACTAAAAATATGTGGATAAAAATAGTTGCGAACTTAAACTTTGAAGACGGGGCTTGTGATATATAACTGAAAAGGAAGTAAATCAAAGTGGTTGTACTAATCCAAGATTGTGTGGAAAGTTGCAGTAGTCATATCATATTTCACAAAGATGTTCGTAGCTAACAACTCCGAGAGAATACAAGACTTATTCCAACTGTAGAATATTCGTGGTTTTCAAAGTTAAGACAATGTATCATCAGAATTCATTTCAAACTTGGTTGTCGTTCCAGTGTGGGTCCGTTTTTTCTAATACTATTGATGACTCAAGATAAAAGCACCTCATTGTGAAGCTTATATCATTTTTCTGACCAGGTTTCTCAGATATCTTTATACTGGCTAGTAACCGTTGATTTTTAGGTTGCACATAAATGGTTTACAGATAATGGAAAGAATTCGTTCAAATTTATTAGTACGTGATCTGTTATGAACGGATAAAATATATAGGGCAGATTTCTGAATTATCACTTGTGAAACCTTTGAAGCATATATTCTTGCGGTCTGAAAATCAAATATATGACACTGTCAGGCATCGAAAGGGTGACCTAAATATAAAAGACATTTTTAGAGTACTCTACAATTGATGATGAATACATTGAGAGAAAGACCATCTCGGTAAGACATGTATATTTATTTACCAGGTGCTAATCCATGCCTCCTCAGAGCAACGTCAGTTTTGTTTACAGATGGAGTCTGAATGGAAGAAGGAAATCAGTAGTCAAGATTATTTTTATGCGTCATTGAACTCGTGACGAAGCGACACAATATGTCATTTTTTGTCGAGATCTATGATTACCTCAGATCAAACCAGTCTATTAATGAAACTCTGTCATTTATCAGTGAACAGTACCATGATATTGGCCAAGTTTTTTACTGATGGTTTAGATAAAAGTTATTGTCCATAAAACCGTCATTATACAAGTAATGTTATCAATTTCTATTCTGTTGATTTTTGTGTACAGAAGTTGCATTGGGGATGACCGTTTGATCCTTATGATCTTATGCCTTGACATTCGGACTACTTCATAAGTGAGGTGTAAAGAAAGTGGCATGGCTGACCGATATTATAAAGAGTGACTAAAATGTGACTTATGAGTGCTTGTATTAGATCCAGTTCATTGGAAGGAAAATAGTTGAAGGGGATCTGGAAATAACGTGATCAGGTAAAACTAGTGACCAATCAACTTCTGTTAGTATGCACTCAAGTTATTTCATGAAAATGTCGAGGGTGAATGAGAATTGAATGTGGAGGTACATGAAGTGTAAGTTCAAAGCTGACCAGCTGTGATTGATGGGGAGTTGAGATAAGTGGGAGCTCCAGATCAAGTGCTTTTATTTAGCAGACTGTTCGATAAAACTCATATTATCAGAGTATTCGTTAAATTCTCACACCACTATTGATTTTTAATGGTCGTCAACCACTAAACAGTTATCCCAGTATATGGCCATAAACATTTTGAGAGCGGCATTGTTAGTAAATAGCTAAGAGCTTTCATGTTCTCCAGTAGCCTTGAACTTTTCCATGGGTTTAAAGAAAGTTTTTCACATTGATACTGACTCCATTAGTTCTACTGAGCAATTTATAATTGAAGGCGCTCTGTCATGCATTCGCACCAAATCATCACAAATTCATTTCTAGGGAACAAAAAACAACTAGTGAATAAACACGTTAATTATTTAAAACACTGGCAAAGACTAATCGATAATATAGTGTTGTCACTTCACTGACAGCATAAAACTTTTATCTACAGACCTAGTTATTTCAAATTGGATTATGTATTGTGGTCGGACCCAAGTCGAATTATGACCAACAAATGATGGCATTACAACACGACAAAACAACAGTAAATAGTATCAAAACATCAGCTTTTGAAACGTTATCTGATATGGATCAAATGTGGTAGTGATGGCACCCAGTGGCGTATGTGTGCGTGTGTAAAATCGGTGTTTGTGAATGCATACAGCCTCCTAGAAACCCTCTCTTAAGATAAAGAACTTTGGATGTATATTGTCTATAATGATGAGTGCACAGTGTTGTGAGAACCAAGCCCGACAACTTCACTCAGAAATTTTAGACTGAATGCTTGTGGTTGTCATGCATGATAATGCTTGGTGGTTTTATGTGACATTAAGTTTAAAAATGGACTTGTTATTGCTAAGCTTTAGGTTGAATATTTTTGTACTGTGAATTTTTTGAGTCTTGGCCGCATGACGTTCGATTCATATGATGAGTCTCTTGGTTCTGACTTTTTAGATTGGTTGTATGATTTGATAGGCAAATTTTGGTCGAAAGAGATTTCCTGGTTTTAGCAGAAACATTTTTTGGCCCCAAATGATCGTCGAAAAGTTCCGGGGTTCTGTTCTGCCACCTTGATGTAACCCTACCAACTCAAAGAATCGTATATATTCAGTCATCGATATATTTTCTACGAAGCATCCACGCTGCCTTTCGAAAGAATTGTTTTTTAAAACCAAATGTTTGCGTACATCATAGTTTTTTATATTTGCATGAACTACTGCTTATCAATATAATTTTAACTATAACTTCATCATTCCAAGCTGCTATAAAAACTCCCAAACTAAACTCATGTTATAAGAACCTAACGAAAATTCAATATAGCATACATCAACTAAAACTTAACATTTTAACGTTTATTTACAGCACATCAAAAGTGATCGAAGTATTATTTTCATATCATGAGTCAGTAATATTCAAAGTACACTTATTATGGGTTCTGTGTGTTTGTATAAACTGAAATGATAATTTTGACAAAATGTGTAGTTACGAAAAAGTGTAGCGTTTTCAAACAAGACTGGAAATGACGAAAGATTTAGGCCTAATAAGTCTGCGAACTATTCAGATACATTTGCAACGAATCCATAAATTCGTAGTTTAAATTTTACAGATAATATTGTTTTTAGGTCAAGTTGGGTGATGGAAGCAAGTATTCAGTCAAGCTTGAGCATGGAGATTTCTCCTGTGGTGAATCTCAAAGATGTGATCTGAATAGTGATAATCAGTTAATAATCGACCACATTTTTAAATATGAGTTGTCCACCATAGATGTTGCGTCTTTAGATTCGTTGTGCTCGCAGCCTTTTGTGTGTAAGTTACATAAATTTAAATAAGTGATAGGCCAGTGACTGTTTACGAACACAAAGTAAAAGACAAGAAACAAAAGGAAGCCAAAACTGAGTTGTGCGGTCAGACGACTTTTGATTGCTTACCACTAGTAAAAAATTCGACTAAATATGAGTTGAACTTGAAATTATTCAGCCAGTTTTCTACAACATCTCTTGACGATCTTGTACGACATAATTATTTTTTGAATTTCGTTTCTTATCTCAGCCAACTGTTGATATTTTAGTTTCAGTTGACCAACCACTTTTAAATGATGAAGTTTATGAACAACTGAATATCATTTATGTCAATATTGAGTCAATTCAAAATGTCCCCGAAACGTTCCACACAAAAGATCACTATACTTTTGTTGCTGCACTACCATTGATTACCTCGAGTGAAGTCTGTTATGAAATTTTTACTTTAATGACAGTAGAATATAGAAAACGCAATCATTTCTAGCAAGGGATATTTGAAATCGCCATCCGATGCAGAATACATCAGCACTTCATTTAGGTGGCCTGCCCCTGGAAGTGCACGGAGTTTTGCAGATATTATGCAAACCAGGTACAGTCAATCGTTTCTAAATGACCAAATGGCTTCAAGTTTTCCGGAGATTACTCTAGCATTGAATAAAAAAGAAGATGGTGACTTTCCAATAGGACAATATTCGACTCTTAGAAATTCAGCTAATTCTATAAAAAATAAAGTTGTTTGGAATCAGCAACACAGGCGCTTGCTGAACAGGACATCACAGTTGAAGCAAGTTTTGACATGTAAATGAATGAACTCATGAACTTTTAGACTGAAAGAAAGAATTTCAGCTTATAAATTTTTACCAGTGGAGGTGTTTTGCATGCAGGGCAGCTCATCTGGAAGAAAGAAAAAGGTTTCTTATTATTTTCATATATTACGACTTTATTTAAATATATAGGACGATGAACCCACCCATACTCATCATGGTGTAGCTTATGTTAATTTAACTCCGCTTCTCTACCCAGGTGGTAAGATATGAATGTATATTTTCACAAAGTACAATTAATTTACTTTCATTTGTGTTATTAATTCGGAGTTCCACTATTCTGTAACCTGATAATATACTGCCAATATGTCTTTGCCAAGTAAAGTTCAAGAAAAAAGTACATCAAGTTGTTTGAAAAGATGCCGTCTAAATATGATAGCCAGAAATAGTAAAATCCAGTATAATAAACAGTGATTTCCAGAGCTGTCCAACTCGTACTCTAACAGTTACGTGTAGAGGAGATCAACGTGGGCACAGTCGGATGTATTTTGTTCAAAATTCAACTCAGGCTCAGAATAATGTACAAAGAAATAGTCAATTAACACAAATTTCAAACTTAACCCTAGTATTATAAATGGTTCAGTATATGTGAAAATTATGTTTGGAATAATCTCAGTGACTGAAATTTAAATATTCTCAACGTTTCGTCCGGTAAGCTTCTCTAGACTTCTTTAGAGTAATAATCGCTGAGATTATTTCAAATATAATTTTCTCATATTTTGAATTATCTATAGTCGGTGCCCAATTTTTGTCAAATTATAGATGATGAAATTGTGTTTCAAAAAGTGCTACGGTTTGTATTTTATTCAGTGGACTAAACCTTCATCAGTCTGTAATACAGACTGCCATGTGAAGATTTTAATCGTGATCGCACAGTAAATATCGTAGTGCATCAGTTGAATACATCACAATGCCACCAATGAAAGTATTCATCTATTACCAAGTTTTATATCAGTGACGTTATTATTCCATGGATGATCGTATCCTGAATTAATTAATTGTTGTATGTGTAATTTTAGGATGTGAGTCTTTATCTCCGCGCACCTTTTTAGAACATGTGCACTCAGTATCTGAAATAAATGATAGGGCCTAAATATTCTGGTTATGTAGTGTCAAAAGTTGAATTGTGACGGTTCAATTATCTTTAGCTTGCCAGAAAAACCAATTTTAAATAGGGAGATCTGAATAAATAAGACTTGCAGAGTTTCATGTTAGTGGATGTAATCACATATAATGTGATTATGCCCAATGATTGAAGTTGACTTATTGGATTTTCAACGTTTCCGATTATGAGTTTCATAGTATAAGACATAGAATCCATTGGAGATATTATTAATTGTTCAGTCGAAATAATTTTAAAACTTTTCGCTTTTCAGTGGATTACGTTCGTGGGGCATACAAAATATATCCTTTTAATCAGAAAGAATATGAAGAAAAGGTGAGCACACACATATTATTTTGGAAAATTTAGTTTGTTATCAAGTTTCTATTCAACAAATGTTTTCGAATATTTTGACATTAGAAGCTTTTCTGAATGAACTGAAGTCCATAAAAAGTGTATTGTTTGTTTAATTTCGACACGCGAATCGATCAGTCGCAATTGTATTTTCCTTTATCATTACATGGTAATCGATAAATTAAGTATTGATTAGGTGGCTAGAATTTTAATTGTCCTTTGTGCTACAATCAGACAATAGGTATTTTGGTGCATGTATCTATAAAATTTATCGCAGACAATAGACGTTTAAGGGATTATAAATGACAAATTATTTACGATTTGTTTTGTGTTTTTTACAGACCAGGTAAGTAGTAATACCGCTATATATTGAATCGAAGCCTTAGACGTAAGGTGATCTGGTCGGAAAAACAATAGGTTTAGTAGATGCTCGTGCTTTAATAAATCATGATACTTCAAGCACTATGAAAAGTGAAATATGTATAGATTGTTTGATATGACGTCTGATGCTAAATACTTATTTCAAGATAAAAAGTCTGAACAATAATATAATGGAATAGGAGTATGGTAAATATTTTGTGCTTTTTGTAGAATGCCATGTCAGTCAATGTGTATGTACTAGACAACACTCCATACATTTTGAAAAAGTTAGAATCAGTCAGAATGAGGAGTAAATGAATTTGTGATAAAGGTAGTCAGAATGACTGCCGACTGGTTAGGTGATGAGCTGCATTGAACATAAGTGACTTAATTACATTTTACAATCCACCCCATTTCAGACGCTACTTACAAGTATCTTCTACTCTTAATGGTCACGTTTTGCAGCTGTGAAGTAGAACAGAGCGAACTGCTGTGGAGTATACTCGTCCTTTGATTGATAGACGGATATCTCGCCTTTGCCATAAGTGAAGTAAGTTGGCAAAAACTAAACGAGCTCTCTGAACCCGTGTAGAGGTTTCGTCAGACGCCAACCCATTAGGGCTGATCAGACTTCTAAGATAATTGAAGTTATCGATGCATTCGACTACTTCACTCTCTATCCTTAGTTCAGGTGTTGACGCAGGCCAGTCCTGAAGCGACCATATGCATTTAGAGAGGAGTAACGCGTCCTAAACATCCTAGCATTGTTGCTCAGTGTTGATAATGAAATTTTAGAAGCATCTAACACTGAAAATCACCAAACTTAGCTACTATCGTCATGACAGGCTTCTACATTATTTAGAGTTTTTTAAACAGGTTAGCAGATCTATGTTAACATTCTTCTAGTCGACCCATTCAGTGTAAATAGCGTAACTTCAAAAACGAATCTTTATCGGCCGAAGACGTTGAGATGTGTATTACGTATGCCCATCCACCGACAACCTAAAGACGCGATGATAACTGGTTTGGGTATAGACTGCTAGAAAGCTCAGGGCTACCAAGCCCGAACATGGCATCAGTCTACGAAGACACTGACTACTGAACTGACCTATTTCGGCAGTCGCAGGCTACCTGGTTAGGGTTCGCCTCACTATCGCAACCAAAGGCTATAGACTTTGAGTGGTATGACCTAGAACCAGTCCCAATGATGCAGGTGCATTCACATTTTGTCTTCCCTAAAATCTTAAGCTTCTAAATTACCTTGCAAATTTTTTACATTACCAATCCGAATTTTCTCCTCGAATTAAATCTAAGTCTAATCGTTTACATTATCATTCATACTATTATTAGCCTTCTTACTCTGGGATTTTCCCTGACATCTTCATTGTGCTGCGCTCACGGGGTGTGGCTACGTCAACCGTTGTTCACATGAGTCAGGATCTATGTTGCATATGACTGGCTAGATAGTTTGTAATAAAATAACTTCTCATGTGTCTGAATTCGATTCATTTACTAAACAAAACATTCTTGGACCTATATTTCATATTCCTAAAAATAGACTGGATATCAAGGTGCTACAATCTATCATTAATTTGTAATACTTATTTTCAGACAAAACGTCAAAATAGCTTACTTCGAGATGTTTTAAATAAAGTTTCAGTTCAAAGTACCCCAAACGTACAGACAGATAAAAAGAAAACACAGCTTAATGTTCCAAAACATGAAAGGAAAACAAGCGTCACAGGTGCTAAGGTAAGATTTTACAAATAAATTTTTGAACCCATAATGAAGTTTGGTTCAGTCGGACCCGACTTTAAAAATCCATATTTTGACCATTCCATGTTGGCTTTCTATATACCAACCTTTGTAGGGAACCATCAGGTTTCCTTTTGACAAAAAACATTCAGAATTCCACTTATTGGATGTTTTGATAAAGAGGAGATCTGACAGATCCATGCAAAGATCGACATATAAAAAGCCAACATGGGATGGTCAAAACATGAATTTTTAAAGTCCCACTGAACCAAAAGCGAAACTTGATTCATTCTCTCTGTACAAGGGCTAGACGAATTTGTATTGAAGATGAATTTCAACGGATGCATATCAACAATGTTTATTTACCTAGATTCATTAGGCAAAACCTAAAACCAAAACAACAGTGTGAAAGAGTTTTCATAGCACGAAAGAAGACTCTAGTTATGAATATTCAGGTTAAACGCCACAGCACAACTTTTGAAAAAACAGGCTTCCGAAATCTCTTAGAAAAACATTCTATTTGACTGAGCTTCGTATCATCTTTTCTAGTCGTGTGAAGAATAAGCTCCCACTTTGGTCCAAATCAATGTACTTCTATTGGTTTACTAGCTCATGCTGAGCAGATCATATTGGCAGCACAAAGCGAGCTCTTTTGAAACGCATCTTCTAACATGACCCTGCCTGGCTTTTCAAAGGATTACAGAAGTTAGTTAGAAGCTAAATCTTGAAGCATCATGTCAACTCTGGTCAACCTACTTCACCATAAGTCAGCCTCCTTCAAAATCATGCCTGCAGTCAGAATTTAAATAAAAAACTTATGTACAGCAGAGTATTGTTATACATCAGTTCAAGCCTAACTTTTCCGTTCAAAACCAGTATGTTCAGTCCCTCATTCTTACATGGTTTTAACCTCCTTTGTTGTCATCCCTAACCTCTCTTTTAAAAAAATTATTTCTACTCCTTTCCAATTATTTACATAACTATTATTTAACAATTATTACAACACAGCTCTGCTCTACTATAGACCATTGTTTTAGAAATTAAAATCAATCATAAATACGACTGTACAGCTTAAGTAATTGAAATCATCGGAAAAAAACATTTTCCTCGTTGATTTGCCTTCTTTTACAAAATTATGAAGTAAAATGTAGTCTACTCCGTTTAAAGTTCACTCAGACAAACGTTTATGTTCTACTAAGCCAATGTTAGGGAAAACATGATATACAATACAATTTAACTCCATAAGAAGTGTGGTTTTATGTTCTGTTATATAAACTGTAAAAATGATATTTGTAATACGGTTCATTTTATGTAGCAGACGATTTTGATTTATCTGTAAATTCGTCCAATATAACCAAAAAAGTCAATAAATTACATAGTAAAATGCGCTTCCTAAACAGATTATTGAGTTTAAGATTTATAATTCCTCATAAATACAGCATAACTGTAACTTTCTTTAAGTTACTTCAATTTTCCTACATAACTCACATTATAAAAGACAGGAAAATTAGATTAATTAGCATCTACCATAATATTTGCTAACAAATACAGGGTGCTAGAAATAAGTAATCTTGTTTGAAGTTTTCTAGTACTTATGACTTTAATAAAAACCAATTTCGGCTAATAACTAATTAGCTACTGGTTTTTTTGAGTATTACAGTTATTAGATCAGTGAATAAAGTAAAAAAAACTATCAAAATGAGCATGGGTGCATAATAACATCACCAGTATTAAAACTACAAGTTAAACTACAGTGTTGAGGCTGGATTTGGAGATTTATTCAAGTTTACGACATTTTGTTATCTCAACTATCATCAGCTAGTAAACCAAACAAAGCAGCAAAAGATTGAGCATTTGAATTATCTTAATTAAGGTCTTCTTCTGAACCACTAGTTATCGATAAACTGTTCACCATTTTTAACGGCGAAATCTACTTTCATAAACTAGATCTAAATGATTTATCTACTAATCCGAGTTGATTCATTATATGAAGGTTGATAAAGGTGAACCCACATCACGATTGTTCCTGTTTGATAAACTGCTGCTATGAAGACATCCTTGATAACCTAATGACAACTACTAAATAAACCTTTACTCAGTATCACAAGAGTGGCAGTCTATTTTAATCATATAATCATAGTTATACTATCATCAGGAAGATTATACAACCCACTGTCCACAGCATTGATGAAGTCTTGTTTGAGTTTCTCCAATTTAGGCTATTCATAATATGTGAGATATATGGTTGCTCATTAGAAGATCAGTGTTGTCCCCAGTAGTTCATAAAGTGATTTTGTATTTGAGTCGGTCTGAGATAAGTGTTTGTTTTTTGAATAAGGTCTTGTGGGTAAAAAAGTAAGGGGCTAAAGGCGAAAAGTACGTTCAAAGTGAGTCTCAATGGAGCAGGTGCAAGTTTTTTTTCTGCAAATCATCTCGGTTATTCTCATTTCGTCTCAATCGAAAGTTAGTTTCCTTTTCTTTTTATCGTTTACCAGGAATAATGAATTGAGTGTTGGTAAAACTCTCTTTGCCGGTGGTATGGCAGGTATCTTCAACTGGCTAGTAGCTATTCCTCCCGATGTTTTAAAATCTCGTCTACAGAGTGGTACGTTTTATTTTGAGATTTACAGATTCAGATTATTTTGCAAGATTACAGTAGGTGATTTCTTAATTAGTAAATTTTGTTCGGTTTTCTATACCTGTAAACATGATTTTTATCATAATCTGATGATCACCTTATTATATTTCACATGATCTTAGCTGTTAATCTGTTTGTAGTCTTTGTTCTCCTATGACCAACACTGAGATATCTAATACATTCCTCGTAGTTAAATAATATTATTGTTATTTATATAATATTTATTGGATTTGATTTTTTTCAAATATCGATAAGAGTTATGACCATGAACATGTGTATATGATGCAGGCGTATATTGTTTAGATCCTTATGTTTATAGGTTTTCATTTCAATTGTATACTCTAATCTCAGTTGATTCTTGATGTTTAAATGCGTTCTTAACAATTGTAACAGTTGTAAGGATAGTGTGAAACGAATTATTTTTAAATAAACAAACGTGGATTTATAATTCTTTAAGGATATAACGGGTTGTTAACAATTAGGTAATTTTTGAGAACGTGTTTACTTTGAAGAAGTTAGTCAGAATCATCATGAGGCTGTTTTACTAAACATCTGTTGTGTGTACTTTACTAGTTCTACCATAATTTGACACGTCCTTGATTTGTTTTTAATGTTCTAACTAGATTCTTTATAATTTTTCGTTTACATTGAAATAAGTTTTGAAATTTGACGCATTAAAGTTACTTCATTCACTAGGTATTTGGTGAGGTGCACTAGGTGTGAAACCTAATGATTCTACTTAGTTAATTACCCAATCTGAAGTAGGGTTTGAACATGAGACTTAGTAGCCGAAAGTCGAACGCCTTGACCACTAAGCCATCGCTCCGCATCTAAATAAGTTGGAATAGTTTTTGTTAGATGTAGTTAAAAAATCCTTTATTTAATAATTTTATAAAGTTATTTCACTTAATCAACTTTAATAAAATAAGAATATGGATAATATGGGTTCATTTTATTTGGTAGATTACTTTCAGCTGATTACAATCGTAATCGTATCAAATGACGATATAACATCAAATGTAGGCGACCGAAAAGTGGAAATGGCAATGATTATCAGTTTTATATATGTATAATTAGTTTTTTTATCTACTCCATTTGTTTTGTGATAGTTTTTAATAAACAACCTGGCCGATGTGGATAAATTTATCTACTTCATCTCTAGCACAACCACTAATAGCTCCTCATGTGACTGAATTACTGATACAAGCTCTAAATAAATTGTTATCGTAAAAAGTATCTTAAGTTTCCAGGAAGTCATCATTTGTAATAAAACGAAATGTTAACGCGAAATAAACATGATTAAATGACATTTAGCGGATAACAGGATAGGTCACTGACATGTAAGTGATATTAATAGTTAATTTATTAGACATAATTCTTATTCGTATCAGAAAGAATGTTCAGTGTTGTTTTAAATTACCTCACAGTCTACAAAATCTATCCACAAGATAAACTCTCAGTACTTATAGGTTTTGGATGGTGATATATTCTTGCCTATATTAGACAAAAAATGTTCGCTTTTGATATCTTCAATATTTCATAAAAAGTACCACACTTTGATGTTTTTAACTATCAAAGCTTAGATGGCGTAATGATTTCTTTTAGTTAAAGCTCTAGTGGAATGATCTCATAATGGAGTTTTCTGAATTTAAATTTTCTTATATCTTAAATGTAGCTTCTGAGGGTGTTTATCCCAATGGAATTCGGTCGGTATTCTCTGAACTTATTGCAAAAGAAGGCTTTTTGGGATTGTATCGGGGTATGACTCCGGTGATGCTTCGAGCATTTCCTGCAAATGCTGTAAGCTTTGATTGTATTATCAACTGAAACGTAATATCTTGTTTTTATAAGTGGTTTATATTTTACCTTTAAAATTAATAATTATTTAGTGTCGTTTGGATTCTCATATATCATCTCTTCTACCACTAAGATGTAAACAGACAAGTTTTCTGGAACTCGAACTGTACTCGCTATGACCTGTTAAAAATGTAAATTGGAACTTCATTTAATAGTTGTTTATCACTAGTTGAGGATCGCTTCTATAAATGGCGAAATCCAGGAAAGAATTTACATCATTTACTTCCCAACGATCATCGGTTATATCCGTATCTGGAAAGTGCATTGATTTTGTTCTATTTACGCTACTTTCACCAAAAGACTAAGATAAAACAAGTTTTCAAGTGTACAAAGGGAAAATATTGTCGCTCTTCACTAGTCACTTTCTTGTATCTCGAGATATTCATTGCTAGTCAAAATAATCTTGATGCTGACACATTGGTTGTTTATAACTCTAACACCGATCAATTGTTGTGTCATTTTACATAAGCACGACAATAGTCTAGTTGATGGGGAAACTCTGAACAACAAATCTCATATGTAAGTTCATTTTAGAAGTATGTAGATGCCTCAGATTTATTTCCGAACAGTTCATCCCAAGGCGTTTTGTTTATTATATTTTCATAACATAACATCCAGCTGACTAGTACCGAATAGAACAAAATACGCGTCTAAGACTCAACTACTAGCCTCAATCCTTCTATTTAAAATAAGTGTGCTTAGATTGGTATGATTTGCACATTCAGTCAACACTACTAAAAATGAGATTATTGAAAAATTCAGTTTATCACTACAAACAGTTGTAATTGTGATATTTTGTTTTACTTATTCTGTTCTGTGAGCTCTAAGTTATTATATCTCAATTTGTCGCGATTTCTACCTTTTCAGGCATGCTTTCTCGGTTACGAAGTTGCTTTGAAGTTTCTGGATTATGCATTCCCTAGTCTGTGATAATGTTTCGGTGTGATTATCTTAATACATTTGTCAATTGATTTTGAAGTCGGGTTACTTTGATTTCTATTTACAGAGTGGATTATTATCTTCCGTTCATGTACATTTTTGCTTAAAAATTTATCAAGATCAGTATTATCATTGAGAAACATTGGCATTCTGTAAATTGCGATTTCGAAATTTTATTTTACTAGCTACTGTAAAATATTTTTCAATTAATTGATCTATGATAACTTATCTAATGTTCTTATTCTTCGTCGATTCAATTCCCAAGCGTTCTTTAACGCTTTTTTTACTCCCCAGTATATAAGTAACTTCTGATTTATTTCTTAGCGGCTGTTTATATTCAGAACAATTGGTGTTTAGAATCGCTATGCAGCCACAATGATATCAGTTCCATGATCCACTCCCGCCTAGTCGGTGGCGTATTCAATTAGTAATAATCCGGTCGGTGTCCAGTAATTCAGACGAAGATTTAGGTCTTTAGTGTTATATCATGTTTAAGTCACAGGCTTAGTGGACTTATATTCGTCTGTTTTCGTACCTGAACAAATGTACTATTTTGGCTAGTATAGTCAATCTGTCCGGAGTATGTTGTGTACGTGTGAGCCATACAGGATAAGAGTACAGTGGAGCAGATCGTTTTACTCTGTTTTGTGCACGTGAGGCTTAGCCATTCGGAATAGGCGACATTACGGTTTCTGGGGTTGGGTTATATGTTCTGAAGTAGGGTATTGAGTAAAGACGTGAGGCTGGTCGGCGAGGTAATAGGTCTTCATTATGTGAGGTTACCGGATGTAGGAGTAAATCAGAAGACAACTGGCTTTCCGAGTTGCCTGTCAGTGAGTGGTGTGGGGACTTCTTGGTTCGGTCCACTGCGAGTGCGGTATTTTACGGCGTAACCCAAAATCGGCTATAGCATTGCAGATGTTCATATTCTTCATTTTCTTTTTGTTTCCGAAAACTTTCAGCAGGTAATTCTGTGGTAAATCAGACAATGATCAAATATTAACCTCTGATTACGTATGGCTGATAGTGGTTGAAGTTGCTTCGAAATGATGTTCACAGACTGGAAGTTGACTTATACCTGTAAAAATAGACAAACTGATAGCAATTCGTAGACTAAAAATATGTGGATAAAAATAGTTGCGAACTTAAACTTTGAAGACGGGGCTTGTGATATATAACTGAAAAGGAAGTAAATCAAAGTGGTTGTACTAATCCAAGATTGTGTGGAAAGTTGCAGTAGTCATATCATATTTCACAAAGATGTTCGTAGCTAACAACTCCGAGAGAATACAAGACTTATTCCAACTGTAGAATATTCGTGGTTTTCAAAGTTAAGACAATGTATCATCAGAATTCATTTCAAACTTGGTTGTCGTTCCAGTGTGGGTCCGTTTTTTCTAATACTATTGATGACTCAAGATAAAAGCACCTCATTGTGAAGCTTATATCATTTTTCTGACCAGGTTTCTCAGATATCTTTATACTGGCTAGTAACCGTTGATTTTTAGGTTGCACATAAATGGTTTACAGATAATGGAAAGAATTCGTTCAAATTTATTAGTACGTGATCTGTTATGAACGGATAAAATATATAGGGCAGATTTCTGAATTATCACTTGTGAAACCTTTGAAGCATATATTCTTGCGGTCTGAAAATCAAATATATGACACTGTCAGGCATCGAAAGGGTGACCTAAATATAAAAGACATTTTTAGAGTACTCTACAATTGATGATGAATACATTGAGAGAAAGACCATCTCGGTAAGACATGTATATTTATTTACCAGGTGCTAATCCATGCCTCCTCAGAGCAACGTCAGTTTTGTTTACAGATGGAGTCTGAATGGAAGAAGGAAATCAGTAGTCAAGATTATTTTTATGCGTCATTGAACTCGTGACGAAGCGACACAATATGTCATTTTTTGTCGAGATCTATGATTACCTCAGATCAAACCAGTCTATTAATGAAACTCTGTCATTTATCAGTGAACAGTACCATGATATTGGCCAAGTTTTTTACTGATGGTTTAGATAAAAGTTATTGTCCATAAAACCGTCATTATACAAGTAATGTTATCAATTTCTATTCTGTTGATTTTTGTGTACAGAAGTTGCATTGGGGATGACCGTTTGATCCTTATGATCTTATGCCTTGACATTCGGACTACTTCATAAGTGAGGTGTAAAGAAAGTGGCATGGCTGACCGATATTATAAAGAGTGACTAAAATGTGACTTATGAGTGCTTGTATTAGATCCAGTTCATTGGAAGGAAAATAGTTGAAGGGGATCTGGAAATAACGTGATCAGGTAAAACTAGTGACCAATCAACTTCTGTTAGTATGCACTCAAGTTATTTCATGAAAATGTCGAGGGTGAATGAGAATTGAATGTGGAGGTACATGAAGTGTAAGTTCAAAGCTGACCAGCTGTGATTGATGGGGAGTTGAGATAAGTGGGAGCTCCAGATCAAGTGCTTTTATTTAGCAGACTGTTCGATAAAACTCATATTATCAGAGTATTCGTTAAATTCTCACACCACTATTGATTTTTAATGGTCGTCAACCACTAAACAGTTATCCCAGTATATGGCCATAAACATTTTGAGAGCGGCATTGTTAGTAAATAGCTAAGAGCTTTCATGTTCTCCAGTAGCCTTGAACTTTTCCATGGGTTTAAAGAAAGTTTTTCACATTGATACTGACTCCATTAGTTCTACTGAGCAATTTATAATTGAAGGCGCTCTGTCATGCATTCGCACCAAATCATCACAAATTCATTTCTAGGGAACAAAAAACAACTAGTGAATAAACACGTTAATTATTTAAAACACTGGCAAAGACTAATCGATAATATAGTGTTGTCACTTCACTGACAGCATAAAACTTTTATCTACAGACCTAGTTATTTCAAATTGGATTATGTATTGTGGTCGGACCCAAGTCGAATTATGACCAACAAATGATGGCATTACAACACGACAAAACAACAGTAAATAGTATCAAAACATCAGCTTTTGAAACGTTATCTGATATGGATCAAATGTGGTAGTGATGGCACCCAGTGGCGTATGTGTGCGTGTGTAAAATCGGTGTTTGTGAATGCATACAGCCTCCTAGAAACCCTCTCTTAAGATAAAGAACTTTGGATGTATATTGTCTATAATGATGAGTGCACAGTGTTGTGAGAACCAAGCCCGACAACTTCACTCAGAAATTTTAGACTGAATGCTTGTGGTTGTCATGCATGATAATGCTTGGTGGTTTTATGTGACATTAAGTTTAAAAATGGACTTGTTATTGCTAAGCTTTAGGTTGAATATTTTTGTACTGTGAATTTTTTGAGTCTTGGCCGCATGACGTTCGATTCATATGATGAGTCTCTTGGTTCTGACTTTTTAGATTGGTTGTATGATTTGATAGGCAAATTTTGGTCGAAAGAGATTTCCTGGTTTTAGCAGAAACATTTTTTGGCCCCAAATGATCGTCGAAAAGTTCCGGGGTTCTGTTCTGCCACCTTGATGTAACCCTACCAACTCAAAGAATCGTATATATTCAGTCATCGATATATTTTCTACGAAGCATCCACGCTGCCTTTCGAAAGAATTGTTTTTTAAAACCAAATGTTTGCGTACATCATAGTTTTTTATATTTGCATGAACTACTGCTTATCAATATAATTTTAACTATAACTTCATCATTCCAAGCTGCTATAAAAACTCCCAAACTAAACTCATGTTATAAGAACCTAACGAAAATTCAATATAGCATACATCAACTAAAACTTAACATTTTAACGTTTATTTACAGCACATCAAAAGTGATCGAAGTATTATTTTCATATCATGAGTCAGTAATATTCAAAGTACACTTATTATGGGTTCTGTGTGTTTGTATAAACTGAAATGATAATTTTGACAAAATGTGTAGTTACGAAAAAGTGTAGCGTTTTCAAACAAGACTGGAAATGACGAAAGATTTAGGCCTAATAAGTCTGCGAACTATTCAGATACATTTGCAACGAATCCATAAATTCGTAGTTTAAATTTTACAGATAATATTGTTTTTAGGTCAAGTTGGGTGATGGAAGCAAGTATTCAGTCAAGCTTGAGCATGGAGATTTCTCCTGTGGTGAATCTCAAAGATGTGATCTGAATAGTGATAATCAGTTAATAATCGACCACATTTTTAAATATGAGTTGTCCACCATAGATGTTGCGTCTTTAGATTCGTTGTGCTCGCAGCCTTTTGTGTGTAAGTTACATAAATTTAAATAAGTGATAGGCCAGTGACTGTTTACGAACACAAAGTAAAAGACAAGAAACAAAAGGAAGCCAAAACTGAGTTGTGCGGTCAGACGACTTTTGATTGCTTACCACTAGTAAAAAATTCGACTAAATATGAGTTGAACTTGAAATTATTCAGCCAGTTTTCTACAACATCTCTTGACGATCTTGTACGACATAATTATTTTTTGAATTTCGTTTCTTATCTCAGCCAACTGTTGATATTTTAGTTTCAGTTGACCAACCACTTTTAAATGATGAAGTTTATGAACAACTGAATATCATTTATGTCAATATTGAGTCAATTCAAAATGTCCCCGAAACGTTCCACACAAAAGATCACTATACTTTTGTTGCTGCACTACCATTGATTACCTCGAGTGAAGTCTGTTATGAAATTTTTACTTTAATGACAGTAGAATATAGAAAACGCAATCATTTCTAGCAAGGGATATTTGAAATCGCCATCCGATGCAGAATACATCAGCACTTCATTTAGGTGGCCTGCCCCTGGAAGTGCACGGAGTTTTGCAGATATTATGCAAACCAGGTACAGTCAATCGTTTCTAAATGACCAAATGGCTTCAAGTTTTCCGGAGATTACTCTAGCATTGAATAAAAAAGAAGATGGTGACTTTCCAATAGGACAATATTCGACTCTTAGAAATTCAGCTAATTCTATAAAAAATAAAGTTGTTTGGAATCAGCAACACAGGCGCTTGCTGAACAGGACATCACAGTTGAAGCAAGTTTTGACATGTAAATGAATGAACTCATGAACTTTTAGACTGAAAGAAAGAATTTCAGCTTATAAATTTTTACCAGTGGAGGTGTTTTGCATGCAGGGCAGCTCATCTGGAAGAAAGAAAAAGGTTTCTTATTATTTTCATATATTACGACTTTATTTAAATATATAGGACGATGAACCCACCCATACTCATCATGGTGTAGCTTATGTTAATTTAACTCCGCTTCTCTACCCAGGTGGTAAGATATGAATGTATATTTTCACAAAGTACAATTAATTTACTTTCATTTGTGTTATTAATTCGGAGTTCCACTATTCTGTAACCTGATAATATACTGCCAATATGTCTTTGCCAAGTAAAGTTCAAGAAAAAAGTACATCAAGTTGTTTGAAAAGATGCCGTCTAAATATGATAGCCAGAAATAGTAAAATCCAGTATAATAAACAGTGATTTCCAGAGCTGTCCAACTCGTACTCTAACAGTTACGTGTAGAGGAGATCAACGTGGGCACAGTCGGATGTATTTTGTTCAAAATTCAACTCAGGCTCAGAATAATGTACAAAGAAATAGTCAATTAACACAAATTTCAAACTTAACCCTAGTATTATAAATGGTTCAGTATATGTGAAAATTATGTTTGGAATAATCTCAGTGACTGAAATTTAAATATTCTCAACGTTTCGTCCGGTAAGCTTCTCTAGACTTCTTTAGAGTAATAATCGCTGAGATTATTTCAAATATAATTTTCTCATATTTTGAATTATCTATAGTCGGTGCCCAATTTTTGTCAAATTATAGATGATGAAATTGTGTTTCAAAAAGTGCTACGGTTTGTATTTTATTCAGTGGACTAAACCTTCATCAGTCTGTAATACAGACTGCCATGTGAAGATTTTAATCGTGATCGCACAGTAAATATCGTAGTGCATCAGTTGAATACATCACAATGCCACCAATGAAAGTATTCATCTATTACCAAGTTTTATATCAGTGACGTTATTATTCCATGGATGATCGTATCCTGAATTAATTAATTGTTGTATGTGTAATTTTAGGATGTGAGTCTTTATCTCCGCGCACCTTTTTAGAACATGTGCACTCAGTATCTGAAATAAATGATAGGGCCTAAATATTCTGGTTATGTAGTGTCAAAAGTTGAATTGTGACGGTTCAATTATCTTTAGCTTGCCAGAAAAACCAATTTTAAATAGGGAGATCTGAATAAATAAGACTTGCAGAGTTTCATGTTAGTGGATGTAATCACATTATATGTGATTATGCCCAATGATTGAAGTTGACTTATTGGATTTTCAACGTTTCCGATTATGAGTTTCATAGTATAAGACATAGAATCCATTGGAGATATTATTAATTGTTCAGTCGAAATAATTTTAAAACTTTTCGCTTTTCAGTGGATTACGTTCGTGGGGCATACAAAATATATCCTTTTAATCAGAAAGAATATGAAGAAAAGGTGAGCACACACATATTATTTTGGAAAATTTAGTTTGTTATCAAGTTTCTATTCAACAAATGTTTTCGAATATTTTGACATTAGAAGCTTTTCTGAATGAACTGAAGTCCATAAAAAGTGTATTGTTTGTTTAATTTCGACACGCGAATCGATCAGTCGCAATTGTATTTTCCTTTATCATTACATGGTAATCGATAAATTAAGTATTGATTAGGTGGCTAGAATTTTAATTGTCCTTTGTGCTACAATCAGACAATAGGTATTTTGGTGCATGTATCTATAAAATTTATCGCAGACAATAGACGTTTAAGGGATTATAAATGACAAATTATTTACGATTTGTTTTGTGTTTTTTACAGACCAGGTAAGTAGTAATACCGCTATATATTGAATCGAAGCCTTAGACGTAAGGTGATCTGGTCGGAAAAACAATAGGTTTAGTAGATGCTCGTGCTTTAATAAATCATGATACTTCAAGCACTATGAAAAGTGAAATATGTATAGATTGTTTGATATGACGTCTGATGCTAAATACTTATTTCAAGATAAAAAGTCTGAACAATAATATAATGGAATAGGAGTATGGTAAATATTTTGTGCTTTTTGTAGAATGCCATGTCAGTCAATGTGTATGTACTAGACAACACTCCATACATTTTGAAAAAGTTAGAATCAGTCAGAATGAGGAGTAAATGAATTTGTGATAAAGGTAGTCAGAATGACTGCCGACTGGTTAGGTGATGAGCTGCATTGAACATAAGTGACTTAATTACATTTTACAATCCACCCCATTTCAGACGCTACTTACAAGTATCTTCTACTCTTAATGGTCACGTTTTGCAGCTGTGAAGTAGAACAGAGCGAACTGCTGTGGAGTATACTCGTCCTTTGATTGATAGACGGATATCTCGCCTTTGCCATAAGTGAAGTAAGTTGGCAAAAACTAAACGAGCTCTCTGAACCCGTGTAGAGGTTTCGTCAGACGCCAACCCATTAGGGCTGATCAGACTTCTAAGATAATTGAAGTTATCGATGCATTCGACTACTTCACTCTCTATCCTTAGTTCAGGTGTTGACGCAGGCCAGTCCTGAAGCGACCATATGCATTTAGAGAGGAGTAACGCGTCCTAAACATCCTAGCATTGTTGCTCAGTGTTGATAATGAAATTTTAGAAGCATCTAACACTGAAAATCACCAAACTTAGCTACTATCGTCATGACAGGCTTCTACATTATTTAGAGTTTTTTAAACAGGTTAGCAGATCTATGTTAACATTCTTCTAGTCGACCCATTCAGTGTAAATAGCGTAACTTCAAAAACGAATCTTTATCGGCCGAAGACGTTGAGATGTGTATTACGTATGCCCATCCACCGACAACCTAAAGACGCGATGATAACTGGTTTGGGTATAGACTGCTAGAAAGCTCAGGGCTACCAAGCCCGAACATGGCATCAGTCTACGAAGACACTGACTACTGAACTGACCTATTTCGGCAGTCGCAGGCTACCTGGTTAGGGTTCGCCTCACTATCGCAACCAAAGGCTATAGACTTTGAGTGGTATGACCTAGAACCAGTCCCAATGATGCAGGTGCATTCACATTTTGTCTTCCCTAAAATCTTAAGCTTCTAAATTACCTTGCAAATTTTTTACATTACCAATCCGAATTTTCTCCTCGAATTAAATCTAAGTCTAATCGTTTACATTATCATTCATACTATTATTAGCCTTCTTACTCTGGGATTTTCCCTGACATCTTCATTGTGCTGCGCTCACGGGGTGTGGCTACGTCAACCGTTGTTCACATGAGTCAGGATCTATGTTGCATATGACTGGCTAGATAGTTTGTAATAAAATAACTTCTCATGTGTCTGAATTCGATTCATTTACTAAACAAAACATTCTTGGACCTATATTTCATATTCCTAAAAATAGACTGGATATCAAGGTGCTACAATCTATCATTAATTTGTAATACTTATTTTCAGACAAAACGTCAAAATAGCTTACTTCGAGATGTTTTAAATAAAGTTTCAGTTCAAAGTACCCCAAACGTACAGACAGATAAAAAGAAAACACAGCTTAATGTTCCAAAACATGAAAGGAAAACAAGCGTCACAGGTGCTAAGGTAAGATTTTACAAATAAATTTTTGAACCCATAATGAAGTTTGGTTCAGTCGGACCCGACTTTAAAAATCCATATTTTGACCATTCCATGTTGGCTTTCTATATACCAACCTTTGTAGGGAACCATCAGGTTTCCTTTTGACAAAAAACATTCAGAATTCCACTTATTGGATGTTTTGATAAAGAGGAGATCTGACAGATCCATGCAAAGATCGACATATAAAAAGCCAACATGGGATGGTCAAAACATGAATTTTTAAAGTCCCACTGAACCAAAAGCGAAACTTGATTCATTCTCTCTGTACAAGGGCTAGACGAATTTGTATTGAAGATGAATTTCAACGGATGCATATCAACAATGTTTATTTACCTAGATTCATTAGGCAAAACCTAAAACCAAAACAACAGTGTGAAAGAGTTTTCATAGCACGAAAGAAGACTCTAGTTATGAATATTCAGGTTAAACGCCACAGCACAACTTTTGAAAAAACAGGCTTCCGAAATCTCTTAGAAAAACATTCTATTTGACTGAGCTTCGTATCATCTTTTCTAGTCGTGTGAAGAATAAGCTCCCACTTTGGTCCAAATCAATGTACTTCTATTGGTTTACTAGCTCATGCTGAGCAGATCATATTGGCAGCACAAAGCGAGCTCTTTTGAAACGCATCTTCTAACATGACCCTGCCTGGCTTTTCAAAGGATTACAGAAGTTAGTTAGAAGCTAAATCTTGAAGCATCATGTCAATTCTGGTCAACCTACTTCACCATAAGTCAGCCTCCTTCAAAATCATGCCTGCAGTCAGAATTTAAATAAAAAACTTATGTACAGCAGAGTATTGTTATACATCAGTTCAAGCCTAACTTTTCCGTTCAAAACCAGTATGTTCAGTCCCTCATTCTTACATGGTTTTAACCTCCTTTGTTGTCATCCCTAACCTCTCTTTTAAAAAAATTATTTCTACTCCTTTCCAATTATTTACATAACTATTATTTAACAATTATTACAACACAGCTCTGCTCTACTATAGACCATTGTTTTAGAAATTAAAATCAATCATAAATACGACTGTACAGCTTAAGTAATTGAAATCATCGGAAAAAAACATTTTCCTCGTTGATTTGCCTTCTTTTACAAAATTATGAAGTAAAATGTAGTCTACTCCGTTTAAAGTTCACTCAGACAAACGTTTATGTTCTACTAAGCCAATGTTAGGGAAAACATGATATACAATACAATTTAACTCCATAAGAAGTGTGGTTTTATGTTCTGTTATATAAACTGTAAAAACGATATTTGTAATACGGTTCATTTTATGTAGCAGACGATTTTGATTTATCTGTAAATTCGTCCAATATAACCAAAAAAGTCAATAAATTACATAGTAAAATGCGCTTCCTAAACAGATTATTGAGTTTAAGATTTATAATTCCTCATAAATACAGCATAACTGTAACTTTCTTTAAGTTACTTCAATTTTCCTACATAACTCACATTATAAAAGACAGGAAAATTAGATTAATTAGCATCTACCATAATATTTGCTAACAAATACAGGGTGCTAGAAATAAGTAATCTTGTTTGAAGTTTTCTAGTACTTATGACTTTAATAAAAACCAATTTCGGCTAATAACTAATTAGCTACTGGTTTTTTTGAGTATTACAGTTATTAGATCAGTGAATAAAGTAAAAAAAACTATCAAAATGAGCATGGGTGCATAATAACATCACCAGTATTAAAACTACAAGTTAAACTACAGTGTTGAGGCTGGATTTGGAGATTTATTCAAGTTTACGACATTTTGTTATCTCAACTATCATCAGCTAGTAAACCAAACAAAGCAGCAAAAGATTGAGCATTTGAATTATCTTAATTAAGGTCTTCTAGCGAACGGCATTACGTAGCATAAATTTTCTTCAAATAAACTAACTTTTGTGAACCGGTTGATGTATTGAAGAAAGATTGTTAGCTAGCTACGTGTCTCATTTTTGAAAGGTATCAATCAATTTGTTCATTTATGGAATTTTCTTATTTAACTTAGGCTTGAATAACACATTGTTTTAGTGTATACGTTATGATAAGAAAGTCGAATTAATTACGGTGGTACAACGTAGTACGTAGTTAATCTCATTTATCATACCTGAAATAAGTCTAACAAAATGTAGATGAAATCGTACGTCTTTATGAGTGAATTTTTGGCATTTAAATAGATGTAGCTAAAACAAAATAACCATCAGTTAATTATCCTATTCACCATTCTGAATAAATAAATTTAATTAAATCTAGTGTTAGAAATTTACAAACAAACAGAAAGAAGCTATTTATGCATGTATTACGTTCATGTTAAAAGTTTGGAGAAAATGAGTCTAGAAATTTAATGTAACTTACAATTTAGGCCACATTCAGACCTATATAATTAAGTTGTCTAGACAAAGACATTACCATGTAGCTATCTAAGTAGAACTATACTCGGTATAGTTATTTATTTTATTCTATAATATTATGAATTAGGGTGCATTGTACCTATTAAGCTAAACAAGTGATATCTACTGGAAGAACTTACCATTCGTATTTGATAATCTATTTCAATGACTCGTTGTTGTATAGTTGAGAAATAGTTCAACATCAGATGTAATGGATCAAATCTATCTGTATAAGATAAATCCACATTGCTCACGATGTGCGTGACAATGAAAAATGTTTTCTAAACAAATTTTTCTGTCTTTTAATGATCACTGATTATTTTCTAATAATTAAAAATACTTGTTTACAGACCACAGGCAGAAGTGCTAGTGCACTTGAGGCGGAAACTGGAGAACGTAGTGAAATCGAAAGACAAAAATCCAATTTAACACCAAACACCACAAACGAACAACCTACTGATCAAGTACAAAATACTGAAGCTCAACAATATTTAGATGCACAATCATTTATAATGCTAGAATTTCGTTTAGAAAAACCATTGGTTAAAAAACGAACTTTAGAAGAAATTGACCAAAAAGTTTCTACTTATATAACTGAAAAACAACCAGTTGTCAAACGTCACACCACAGCTGAAAAAGTAGCTTGTTTTTAGCTGATATAATTCATGTTTTTAATTTATTCCTTAAATACTATTGAGTTTAATAATATTACACAAATAATTCATTTTAGAGTTTGGACTTGGACAGATATTGTGTACTGGCTTGTGTTGTTACTTTTCTCCGAGTCATAGAAAAAGGAAGTCAACTGAGATAATGTAATCGATAGATTATAAATATATACATCACGCACATAGTTCAATAGTGATATGGAGAGCCAACCAGAAGTAGTAAAAGTCAATCGATGGTGATTGGAGGTAACGTAAAGGATAAGTGCATTTCATTGAGGGAAATGGGTTGATTTCCTAAAGATAGAGTGGTATATATATATATATATATATATATATATTTGTGCATTTCATTCGGTAGTCCAATATGCTTTTTCGCTCAAATAGTCAGTTGGGGGGGAGTTAGCGCCTATCACGCAAAGCATCAGCATCAGATTTCGGACACCGTCTGTTACGAAAAATAGCTTTGATTCAAATAACACTTAGTTATTTGCAACAGTAATAATGAATGATTAATCGCCTTTCATATTATAATACATATTCTATTCAACAGTCAACCGGTTTACGTATATAGTGATCTAATCATGGTAAGCCTATTTAGTAGCTTATTTTGAAATACTGATAGAAATGAATTTATTTTATTGAAACTGACTCTGTTCAGTGAGTGCAGTTACAAAAGCTTAAAAATACAGAGGTTAAAACAAAACCGATAAATAAATGATAGTAAACAAATGATACCAATCAATCAAATATACTAATGATTGAATCAAATCACATCTAAATAGTCCGAAAACATCAATCAAAAAGATTATTCTATTTAAGTCTCCGAATGATTCAAACTCAAAAGAAAATAAACAAAAAATTCAACACTAACCTTATGTAGCGGTTTAAGTTTTCAATAGACACATTAATTCTATTGATTTGTCATATAATTTGACGGTTACTTTGAAATCATCTTAAAATTAGTGATCTAATAATGATCAGACAAATTTTAGTTTATTGTTTGATATATATACATTTATAGTAGTGCTTAGAACTCTTAAAATTAGTCAAAGAATCTTTTTAATCATGACAGTATGAGAATAACATAAAGGGTAAGCGAATTCATTGTAACTACTTATGTACTTCTTTTGTAAATTGAATACAACATGTAAATTAATGACTTTGTCCCTTTGTTTAAATTAAACTTTAAACAATTTACTGAATGATACTAGTTTCATTGGTGTACAAAAGTCATAATTGGTCACAATTAATAACTATAAGTTGTTTATTACTTTATTTGATCGATTTTCCGGGTAGATTATTGTTAAAGACAGTGAAGTGAATAAGTAATTGTCGATAAAGCTACTATTGCGTAACATGTTTTAAATGAGTATTTGTTTTACTGGAATATCACTAATATGGAGACTGCTAGACGGATAATATGCATTGGGAAAGTATATAATTTGAAAAACCTCAATCATCAATTAAGATTTATAACTTTACTAGTAAACTATTTTTGTTTTATTCAAGTTGTCGGTTCACTAGCTAAAATGTGACTTGAAAACCTCAAGGTTAGTTTTAGGATCACTTATGGTTAGCAGTATAGTTTGACTTCACTGATCGAAATGAATGGTGTAAATAGAAATTGGTTGTTCACTTGGCTGGATGAACTACAAACGAAATGTTGTTCACTTCTCATAGCTTTGAAAGAGTATTCTGTGTATGAAAATTACGATTGTAATTGCTAAAAACACGAAGACAGTTTACGCTCTTGATTGAGCTTATTTATCTTGAACCTAATATTCATAATAAATAAACCTTATTTCAATAAAGTGTGGTTTTCCTGTTCATTTCATTCTGATTTGGCTGAAAAGTAAGTAATCAAGAACTAATTGTTAACACTAAAAACAAAATTTACAAATTCAACAGTTTTCAATTTAAATAACCATTTCATTAAGAAATACTTGTTTAATAAGTTACTGAAATAGCCATGCCGAACTGATGATTTATTGTCAGTCTGAATACCTTGACAAGAAATTCGAAATATTGTGTAAACTGTTGGATTCTCTTAGAAGGAGGATTTCGTTTGTTAAGAATTGTAAATTATCTATAATGTTAATTATGTTGTGCATAATAATTTGTTGACCTGTTGAATGTAATAAACATAATTATACGCTAATTTGTTCATTATTATAGGCGGTTAAGGAATATCACAAGCAAATAGCAGAAGTTGCTAATTATTTGTTAATGGAGTTCAAGTAAAAGAATACATATTCATTTTTATTGTATTATTTCATTAATCATTTATACGAACTCATTTACATGTTTGTCAACGTGAAAATAATTAACCTATTATGTAATTTAAAAGCCACTATTGAGTGACATGTTATATATAGAAATTCTTTTGGGTTATACAAATAATTGATACATACACCTTATCATCATGAAACTGGAAACTTTTATTGAAATCATGAACTGATCTAAGTTCGACAATCACTGAGAATCTGGAAGCAGTGGATGGCCATTTGATTATAGTATGGGACTCCGTAGCGGTGCGTAGTACTCGAAAACATGACCTTCAGTGTCACATAACTTCTAAACCCTTGATTGAGCGAAACAAAGATATTTTGGTCTGTTAGTTGGATTTCAGCAGAAACTATTTCTAAGGAATAATTAATGAAGTATTGTAGATAAATCTTACTTTATTGATTATCATTTCCCATTTTATGACAGTTAATTAATATAGATAACTTGGAGTTAATGTATAGCATTTATACTAAATCATTTGATGTCGATTCGATTGAATTGTACCAGAGAACTTGATAATTAAATGTCATACTTCAGTTTGACTAGAATAAAAATAAGTAAACCTGGAAACTGTAGCTGAAATGTTTTTGGAACAGGAATGACTGTTCATAAATTGTATCCAACATAGCCTAATATCTGATAAATTACAGAAAATGTTGTTCGTGTGAAATTATACATCGTTGATAATGCATAGTAACATTTAATAGATTATTCAAGCAAGTTTCACAGTAAAATTGACCATGTGTAGTTTTTATCAAATTTGATTATTAGTAACTCAGTCTAATTATAAGTATGTCTATTAATTAACAGATTTTCTATTACAGATGTTGTGTTAGTATATTCATCACTCGGTATTGAATTTCATTTTATGTTGAGAATCAAGTATTCTGTAAATAAATATAGAATTCAATCCAGCTTATAAATATGTTCAAGCTTATACAAACTGACGTGTAATAATGATGAATTAGGCATACTTTTTCAAAAAGACATAAAATCTTATTTATTTTAGACCAAGGGTTTAGAACGAAGCTACTGATCATGTATATTATAAAGTGCAAACAGGATACGTAAACATTTATAAAGATGATAATGAATTATAGCAGAATTTAAATCATTTACTTGGTAGATTTATATTAATTAAAATGTTTTCTAATTCTAAATATAGAACCCGTTTCTTAAAACTTTACGAGAGATAACAATAATAAGTAATGCAACCTATTTTTGTTTTTTTGTTTACGTATCATGCATTTATTGTATAGGCAACTGATACTACTAGGTTAATTACAGTGAAATACATAGAACAAGGTTTCCATTTGAAGTTAAATACAAAAACAATTATGGTCTTATTGAATTATAAATTTCTAATAGGTATCATTCATTATCTCTAACACACTTATCTTTATAATATAAATTCATTATTCAATATTTTTTCTTCATTTTGTAGAGTTATGTTTTCTGATCTTATACAAACAGATCAATTACCAGTAGATCATGAATGCGCTGAACAAATGTAAGATTTAATTAATTAATTCATTTAAACAACAACAAACAAATTTTTTTAATTCAGGAAACATGAACTATATTATTCACTGAATACATCTGGGAAATATTTCGCATTTAAAGAACGTTTAAAATTTGCTGTAATTAAAATAGTTAGAGAAAAATTCTTTCGTACTAAACCATTTACTGATCAAGAACAATTACAGGTGAGTAGTTAGTTTAATTTTTCAATTATGTTTATATTAGTATCAGAAAGGGTTTTATGGAGATTGTAGTAATTTCACTAGTTAAGATGATGAGTCAATTGAAGCTAGACCACCATAGAAAACCTGGAAGCACTGGACGGCCGTTTCGTCCTGCGAGGTGGAGTCGTGGATGCGCACTGCTGAGGAGTCCCATAATAGGACGAAACGACTGTCCAGTGCTTCCAGGTTTTCCATGGTGGTCTAGCTTCAATTGACTCATCATCTTAACTATATTTATATTGTTGTTTAATTTAAAAGGGAATTATTTATCGTAAAATGATTAACTCATAGGTAATACAATTGAAAATAATTTTTCTAAAAGTGATGTGATTAATCTGTTTCAAAATTATTAATATAATGATTGGATAGTTTGATCATTCCGTTATTTAGATTTTTTTAATACTAATTTGTGAAATCGATCTGTGAACTTGTGATTATTGGATGTTGGTATCGTTCTTTAATATTTTAATTCTATGTTGATACTCTTGATAACTGTAATCAAATCCTGGTGTTTGAGTTTCGAAAATGTCAGTATCAAGATCTTTTCACATTTTCTTATCTGAATTGGATTTTTTAAAAATTGATTAGATAAATTTATATAGATGAAGATACATATCGTATTGGGAATAAAGAGAGTACTTTTAATTCAGTTGAATATTCCACAATTTTCCATTATTTTTTGTAATAATATGAAAGAAGGGAATATGGTATTACTCTGATACACTCGTACAAAATAATCCGACTATTCAATAGAGAATCAGATGTAAACCGAAACAAAAGTTTATTGATGCGAAAGTACAAGGGCAGAAGTAGGTAATATGGGAATATAAGTAATTACTCATGTGTGATATATCAGATATATCTGTCTGTACTTCTTAATCAAACACAGATAATTTTCTCTGGACATATCATTATCTCTTCCCATAATCATGATTGTTAATTCCAGGTTCTTTTACTTTTATAGATATACACTTGGAATTACTTTTACTGTCTTTCTGGATTGGTTGAATAAAATAACACACTAATTGATGTAGATGTATATAATCGAGATTTCTTTAATAATTTACAAATACTGATAACCCTAAACAAAGTCGTTCGAAGTGAAGACCGGTGTTAGGCAAGGTTGCCTACTCTCACCCCTTCTCTTTCTCCTGGTGATCGACTGGATCATCAATACGTCAACATCTGAAGGGAAACACGGGATACAGTGGACATCTAGGATGCAGTTGGACGATCTAGACTTTGCAGATGATCTGGCCCTTCTATCTCAAACGCAACAACAAATGCAGGAGAAGACGAACAGTGTAGCAGCAGCCTCAGCAGCAGTAAATCTCAATATACACAAAGGAAAAAGCAGGATTCTCCGATACAACACAGCATGCACCAATCCAATCACACTTGACGGAGAAGATTAGGAGGATGTAAAAACCTTTACATATTTGGGCAGCATCATTGATGAACACAGAGGATCTGATGCAGATGTGAAGGTGCGGATCGGTAAAGCAAGATCAGCATATTTACAATTGAAGGACACCTGGAACTCAAAGCAACTGTCAACCAACACCAAGGTCAGAATTTTCAATACAAATGTCAAGACAGTTCTACTGTATGGGGCGGAAACCTGGAGAACAACGAAAGCCATCATCCAGAACATACAGGTGTTTATTAACAGTTGTCTATGCAAAATACTTCAGATCCGTTGGCCGGACACTGTTAGCAACAACGTACTGTGGGGGAGAACAAACCAGATCCCAGCGGAGGAAGAAATCAGGAAGAAGAGCTGGAAGTCGATAGGACACACATTGAGGAAAGCACACAACTACGCCACAAGACAAGCCCTCACATGGAATTCTCAAGGTCAAAGGAAAAGAGGAAGACCAAAGAACACACTACGCCGTGAAATGGAAATAGACATGAGAAAAACGAACAATAATTGGATGGAACTAGAAAAGAAAGCCCAGGACAGAGTGGGTTGGAGAATGCTGGTCGGCGCCCTATGCTCCATCGGGAGTAACAGGCGTAAGTAAGTAAGTAAGATAACCCTAAACTTCATTGAAAGGAAAACGATAGTACTCTGTATTTACTTGTACTAAATCAAAAATAAAATAATTATTTATCATATTAAACAGATTATATAGAGTTCCATGATCATCTGGATAACCAAACTAATATTTTAATTATCCAGAATAATAATTCAGACAGTATAGCTATATGGAACAAATATTGGGCGTTGGAGTTGCCGACAACTTTCATTGTTCAGCTACGATTGATCTAAGTATAATAACCATGATAATTAGAAAAAACGTTTCATAGTTGGGTACGCATGTTCTGAAGGTAACATAAGCAAAATGTTTTCTACTCCCTGCATTTATCGTTACTAATGGTAACTTGTTCTGAAGCTAATTATTTATATTTTTCACTATACTCGATTGAATGGTTTATTCATATCATCACATTGACGCCATCTTTTATTTATACAGTCTAAATTTTTAGAAGGGATTAACGGTTTTAAGGAAAAAAATAATACTTTTAATCTACAATCTAATTACCCGAAAACCGATTACCAATGCTCACGGCTTTTCACTCCCTTTTCTAATTTAAGCTTTTTCTGAGAGATCTCTTTGTCTATCTTGTGGACGAAATGCACATTGGTTTAAAGAAAGTATTTTGTACAAGAGATTTTACGAAGATTCCAGAACTGAATTTCTTTGATCCAGAAACTTTATTACGCTATGCTCGTGAGGCTGAACAAAATCAGATGTATGACTGGGCAGTTAAATATTATCGAGTAAGTTGGTAAATTGCGTTAGCACAATTATTCGTATTACAGATTTAGCCTTTTTGTCTCTGATATTTTCAGATAAGTTTATTTAGAAGTCTTTGCGTGATACTGATGATGACAAAGCATATAGACTTTACTAATTCATAAGTAAGATTAACAAATGGTTACTTGTACTAACCACTTTTACACAGAAATCTTTTTTCGACTTATGGGGTACTCTTATCCGTTAAATAGATATCCCCCAATATAATTATTTTACTTCGTTTAGGAAAGAATTGCAAGAAATCCTAGTTCATCAGCCTATTGGCTCGACTTCGGTGTTTATTATTTGGGACGAAATGACTTAGAACAAGCTGCAACATGTTTCCACCGTTCTTTAACCATAGATCCTAAACAAAGCACTGGGCAAGTTAATTTAAGTCATTTTTACTTATTTTACTGAATCATAAATTTTCATTATTCTCCATTTATACAAATTACTTAAGGATGATATGTCTCCATAGGCTATTTAAAAGTGTTCTAACGTTTACCCTTCTTTATTGCGCAATGTTCTATTAAGTTTTATAAAACAGGTTAGGTTATTCATAGAGGAGTTTCCTCAATTTTCATATATTTTATTACTGACTGAACGACATTCACAAGTAGTATAGTTAGTTTGGTTAAGTAAATATAAAACTATGAACAGATGTAAAACGGTCAGTTTACTTTAACTTTTCTGAAGTGATCTGTGATGAATACATTAGGTTCAAATTTAATAGTCAAAGGGAAAGACTATTACGCTTATAATATCAGAGTGTTCAGTTGTACTACAAATGTTGTTGTCATCAAATTATATCTTATCCTAAGGTCTAAAAACATGTGTTTACTTAGTGAATAAACACATAGCAAGTGAGAATAGAATGAATTTATGTTGTTGCTTTCTGTTTATATCAGCTGCTTACAACCTTAAAAATTTAAAAACCATGACTACAAAGTGGATTCAAATCGCTTACTTAAAAAGTTTTGTTGGAACTTACTATAATCATTAGTCTCATTTCCAAATAATTTATGTACTGCAACACAGATGGATATCATAGATTCGGTTGTTTTGAATATAAGTAATGTGCTTTATTCTGATCTCCATTTCAGCATTTCTAAACACTTTTAGATAGAAATGGACCTCACTTATAGTTATATTTCACCATAGTTCATTTGCTACACCTTTGATAACATTAAGTTATTCAACATGCATAACTTTCAATGTATAAATTTCATTTTAATAAGATATACTCTTAAATGAAGGATGAAATATCGAGTTTTGTTTAGAATACAATTATTCATAATCAAATAATGATCTTGAACTAAAAGCAACTCCATTTAATCTATTTTACTTCACCTTAACAGATTAGTTTTATTTGGTCTTGTATCCGCCATGCAAAATTTTAATGAAGAAGCTACTGACTTTTTAGAAGCTGCAGTGTCTCACGATCCTAAAAATCCTGTTCTATGGGTCATACTTGGTAAGCCTGTAAGAGTAAATGTATATCGATTCTGTACATAATTAGTCAATAGTTCGTTAATACATGCATAGTTTAGACGGTGTATTTCTTTCTTAGTTAATTATAGATAGACTGTGAATCAGACTTTATTCTGCCTATTACGCTTCATATTCAGAAAAATAGTCCTAAAGATTGTAACACATTTCATAAATACAACCTTGGTTGATCTCTTTACTTAAAGATCCGAATTCTGTTAGTCAAAATATCATCTTTTAATTATTCAGGTAAAGTTCAAGCATGAAGCAGTCAAGGCTAGGTGAATTTTTAAAATGAGAATAGAAGACATGTAAAATATGATACTAAATTGTTTTGAAATAATTTTGCTTTATATTTTAGATAATAATGTTAATTATTCAAATTTTTATCAGTTGAATCTATTTCGCATTCACAATGATGTTATGGATTGCTAACTCCCGAATATCAATGTTTTTCATTTGTTTATAATGAACAATACTTTAATGATTGTGCCATATTCTATTTATTTGTTAATATGATCGAGAAAACAGGACCATTTTACATTCAAAGCGAATCCAATTTTTTTCAAGAACCTAATATAATTAAGCTTGCTGATTTATTTAACAAATTAATAGCAGAAATAATGAGCTGGTCATAACTAAGTTGATACAAAAACGTGACATAAAGTTATCAGTTCGTTGATGATTTTGAGAAACTTTCACTGAGATTAAAAAGGATTCTTGAGGAGCTAATTAAATAATGTACAACGAAATCTGAAGTATTTATTGTTTTAATCATCCACATCAGGACAATTGATTTAATAGTTGAATTCATGAGCTAGACCACCATGGAAAGCCTAGAAGCACTGGACGGGCTTTTCGTCCTAGTATAGGACTCCACGACAGTGCTCATCCACGATCCCGCTCGCGGGATTGGCACCTAGAATCTATCGGTCTCGCAGGAGAACACTTAATCTCTAAACCACTGAGCTGGCTTCCAACGGTGTTGATGTCTAACTTCAACCAATCCGTGATATTGCATCGCCGTCCACCATTGCCTTCAGTGAGCTACCATCTCACGACAGGCCCTGTTGAACTACACAAAACCCACACTGACAATTGATTTAATAAAAATGTTTCTATTACTAGAATTATTTTCAGCATTATCCAAAAGTTTTTTCCTATAAAACGGAATATTAGGATTACTTAAAGATGGAGGGATTTTATATATATAATGTTAAACTAAAGCCTTAGTGAAAAGTTGCTTCCCAACATTTTTTTCACATTATTGCAGCAATTGACTGCAATAATTTTAAAAAACCCTTCTCACATCAATGTTTTAGGTACTAAGTGCATATTTTTATTAACCAGAATAAACAATGAATTTCAGCAACTAATAAGCGTAACGAAATAAAATAGAGTTTTTCATTTACTAATTAGGTTTATTTTATGAAACAATATCCAACGACATTGGTGTAGATATGGCTTTAAACGAAGCTAGAAGATTAGATGAAGGTGATGAACAAGAAATTGTTAGCTCGCCAAAAAGTGAATCAAATGATAATTTATTAATAAATCAACGTCAATCATCAAATATTTTATCTGACGGCTCACAGAACGATGGTAAGGTTACAATTTTATCTTTGGTAAGATGAAATGATTGGAAGTAGAAATCCTTTAAAAAAATTTCATTCCGGTATGAGCTCATCAATAAGGTATGCCTAAAATCTCTATATAACTCGTGCTACTAATGGGAGTCGACCCCATATCACAGTCCATGATATTGACATGGAACTACTGAGGTCGCTATTGACATTGAGATTGAGACAGTTACATCTTTCTTAAGAAGCAATAACCAATATCCTATTCGTCCACATCCTAATCCTGATTGGATTCTATCTATTTTGCAGTAGTGTAGCTCTTAGCTAAAGTGATTTGACTCTATGTTCACTGTGTTTTACATATAATAATGTAGTAAATAGCTCAGGTGAATTTCACAATTTTCAGCTGTATGAATAGAAATGATTGTGTTGAAAAGACTATTAGTACTTTTCTTTTCGAAATTGGTGCATTTCTAATTGAACTATCTTCGTGGATTTCTGTTTCTAACTCATAGAAAGTGAAAACGAAATTTTCAAAATCACTATTTCACCATGTTTAGTAGTGTACTGTCATACTAATAAACTAGCTGAGAATTTATTCAGAACAAAATGAATGTTTTGTAAGAGACATCGGTATATGAAATCAAATCTAAATTATTGGATTGAACACTTATAATTAAAATATCCGTGATTATTTCGATTTCATCATTGTCTTTAAATAGTAAGTATTGAAATTTTAGAGGAAAAAAAACAATGAACAAACTTTGAAATTCATACCATTGACAAATAGACTAACAAAACATTTGAAAGGGGAAATCCATATATTCTTCACATAAACTTTTATTTTATTTGGTAAAACAGTCAATTACAGTATTGTATAATATTAATTGCTTCCAAATGCCCTGGTACGGCCGAGAGTGGGGAGAGTCAGCTCTCCCTCTCAAAATGCTCTCACATGGTCACGCGTATACAACCACTGCCAGGGAAGTGCTACTCATTGCCTTCTCGCAACAAGGGTGTTGCTTCAGAAATTGATAGGACGGAAAGCAAATGTCAAGCGCTTTAACCGGATTGGTGGATACAGGGAGTTCACCTAGGGGAGTTGGGAAACCCTGATTTCAAACCAATGGTGCACATGGGCTCCAGTTTCCTGAAGGATCAAATGGCGTATGAACCAATCGTTGGTCACCGGCTACCATGGGACTGCATCTCCTGACGTTGCTCCACTGCCTTGTGGATCAGACCTTTAGGTTGAAGGCTTCAGGTGTGACCCCCTAAGAAAACCACCTGCTTCGGTTTGGGCAACAGGGCAGTATCACAGCCCTCACACAAATCAAATGAATTAAGTGGCGCATATATAGTTGGTGCCTCCTTGTACCAATGTTTATGTGTTGAAATAAAGAAATAATATGAAATAAAGAACACCAGTTAGTTCATTGTTCATCAGATTACTTAAATCAAAAGCCTTAAATTATTCACATTATTGGGAAATAATAAAATCAACTACTTTATTATATATATTATCATGTAGTGACTATCATAAATACGATAAACATATAAACTATTTATACTTTACTAATGTAAACCCATAAGAGAATGTCAATTTATCAGTAAGAAAATTGTTTTATTTTTGAACTTAAAGAACGAATTAATAAATTATCCAAGGAATCAACAAATGATGAAATATTAGAAGAAAGTGTAGATAATTTTAAAATAACTTTAAATGAATTAGATAAAGAGAGTAATCGATCTATTATAATTGGTGATGCAATTAAAGATGATGTTGATAGAATAAATGAAGTTAAAACAAGAAAAAGTCGTTATTCTAAAGGTAAGAGTATTCATACATACTTCTTGTTTATTATATATATATATATATATATATATATATATATATATATATATATGTAGATGGGGATCATGGAATGGTCACACTAGTTCATGTGATACATAGTTACAGTGAACGATTATGAATAAAGTTATAAGCCGAACAGTGATTTTATTAACACAAATACAAGTTGTCCATATACAACAAAATTCAGAGTAGAAATCAGTGTTGGAATATAAATTTTCAAATAATCAAATTATTATTCGACAGATTAACTTTTATCGTGTTTTCATTTTAACAGTAGAATGATTAATTGACGGCAATACATTCTGTCAAGCACTGTAAATATTTTGGATCTCAGTATTATAATTCAATGCATTGTATAAATTAACAAATAAAATTTAACTGTGATACTTTCATAAAACACATCACTCATTGATCTTAGTTAGACAACCAATGGAAATTAGGAAGCACTAGAAAGTTCTTTTGTCCTACTATAGGACTTTTCAATAGTGCAGATTCACGAATTCACTATGGTAGATGGAGGCCAGGATTAAAAGTCTTGTATGTGAACGTTTAACCTCTAAACAACTTTGTCACTTCAGAAATGCACATTTCTACTAGATATTGAAATAAAAAGTATTCTTTTAATCATGAATAAAACATAGTACAATAATCTTAATTATATCAATAATCTAGTGTCAAAGCAGTATATATATATTCTTAGTTATATTGTAATTTAGTAAATCTTGTGTAGGATTTTATTTCTTTTTAAAGCTCCAAAATCAGGTACAAAAATTTCAACTGATATACAATGTGAATCAACATTGATACCATCAACAGTCTGTGAGAAGCCATCAAGAATGAGTTTATTTATTAGAACAGCTGAATTTCTTTTGGATAAAAATATGTATTCGGTAGGTTATTAGATCAGTTCAACTCGTTTTCTTTAATAACTCAATAATGTTTGTAAGTTCAAACATATTTCATTGCACTACGATTAAAAAAAGATTTTAAGTTGAAATTTCAATTCAATTCAGTTATAAAATTTATGTAAGGAGTTCAAGTTGTTTTCTTCAAGATGTTCCTATTTTTAATCAGTAGTGAAAACAGTAATAATCTGTGCATATCGATCAGTTTATTTTAGTGGATTGGAAAGAATGTCAAGCACAATATAAAAAGTTAAATAAAAGCAAATTTAAGATTTACAGAGTCAAGATGTCTTTCAGTTCAAAAGGTGACTGTTATAAACCAAAATAGATGCCAGGTAAATGTTGGATGAAATATTAAACCTTGGTCTGTAAAATCTAAATAGCGATGTATGAAGAAATCTGGTATTACGGACATACTGACCAGTTTGTTTTCGTATTTAATGTTGATTCTTACTTTTATCAGTCATAGTTTGAGTACCATTTAGATATCTTTCATTACAGGGGGTGTTTCATGAGTTAAATGATTTTATGTGCTTGTAATACTAGTCAAGACACTAATTATTCCATTATATTTGCATTTCTTACTGAAAAGTATATACTTCGTTAAAGGGTTGTCCTTAATGCAACAGGTTATTCATATTTCCATACTTATTGACCATATCTGATACACGTTACGTATAGAGCACTATTGAATTTTACTTCAAAACTTATTGAGTGAAGAAAAACCTTGTCCCTGTTCATTACGTAAGAAGTCCTTTAATTGTACTCTACTACAAGGTTTACTGTTGAATTGATTCTACTAGTTTAAGATTCAGATAATTGGGACCTATGCTTTCTACCTAGAAAATATAAATAAAACAATAGTAGCATTTAAATCTGTTCAGTAGATTGCTTTCTTATTAAAATGTTTAAAAAAAATTAAATATATTTATTTTAGACATTAAAAAGAAGAATATATTTGTAAAATCTCAGAGAATGAATTTTTAAGTAAATCCAACGTTTCGCCTGGCAATCTGGTCCAAGCTTTTTCAAGGAAAATATAATCAAACAACAAAATTATCGAATATAAATAGGTACAAGGTTCTTCGGTTTACTGCATACTGAATAAGTCATCCAATCAACGTGAAGGATTTCTTTATTATAAAGAAATCCAGATTGCCAGGCGAAACGTTGGATTTACTTAAAAATTCATTCGCTGAGATTTTACAAATATATTCTTCTTTTTAATGTCTCAAATTAACTCGGCGCCCAAATATTGTGAAACTATTCGTTCAAATTTAGACGAAAGTTCTTATTTATATTTATTTTAGTTTGCATCTATGGCTCTGGCTCATGAATTAATAGCACAGAAAAAAGAATTAGAATATCAAACAATTACTTATGAGCCTCAAACAATAATATCAAATTCAGTACCTAATTTACAATTACAAACTGATACGCATACACCTATACAAACACAATCATCTAGTGATAATCAAAATCCAACAAATTTTTCAACTGCTGGTTTATCTACAATAACTAATCGAATTTCTTCAACAAATATTTTATTTCATCGTGTATCTGAATATCATTTACTTTGTGCACGTTTATCAATGAATTCATATAAACAAGATCTATCAGAAGCTGAATTCAATGCTAGTTTAATTATTGAAGCTGATCCAGAAGCTGTAGAAGCTTGGGCATGTTTAGGTCATTTACGTTATATTGCTGGAGATTTAAATGCAGCACGTTCTTGTTATGAACGTTGTTTATGTTTAATAACATGGCCACCTAAAGATCAACATATTTTATTGTTACGTTTAGGTTCGATTTATTTACAACAGTTGAAGGTTTGTACATATTGTTAAAATTTATAAATATTTAACAATATTCTTTAGATTATACGTTTTAAAATAGGATTACTTTATTTTCTAATACAACCATGAAAGATTTAATTATTGTTTTTATCTATTTCAGTGAAATAACCGCTAACTGACGTAAAAGTAATAATCATGTAGTCACACTTTAATTCTTCCTGTAACGACTTTCTTTGTACATTCTAATGTTGACTAGAAACGTAAAATATACCTTTTTTTCTAGAGGGAAACTTTCAAGTATCTATTCGAATGCTTTACTTTTTCGTCTCATGAAAAAAGTTGATAATTTAATGATTCTTTGAAATCCGTTCATTATACTTACAAAGAAGTTTCTGTGCACATATGCTGTTGTTTGTACCTTCTGAAAAACGAATGATGGAATGAGTAAAAGAAATTCATTTTTCTACCTAAATATTCTTCAACTTAATAATCAATATTACTTCGAGACAGTTATGAAAAAAATAATACATATATATTTTGTTATATCCCAATGAGTAGAAAAATTGTATTTATGACTTTCCATGACTTAATGTAGACCACTTCTTTAGAGTAAATCAATAACCGAAATAAATTAACAAGTTTAGATAGTACTATTAAACTGCAGTTCCGTACTTTATGGTTTACAGGTGAACAGCAACCTGGATCAGTTCAAAATTAAAACTATATAAAAATACTTGCAAACATTCATTTACGTACATAGTGTTATTTTATTTTTAAAATCCATTTCAGTATAAAGAAGCTAAAGATATTTACTTACGTGCATGTAAAAGCTCTCCAACTTGTGCTACATGGCTAGGTGTTGGTAAAGCTTGTTATAGAGTAAGTCAATTAACCATGAACATTTCGTACTTCTGATTAATTGTGGTAATTACTTTTATCAGAATTTTGTAGATATTTATATAATGCGAATATATGTTATCTTTGTATGGATTTATAAGTTCGTATTTAATTTTGAACTTAAACATTGTTCAATCAATGAATATCTCTTGATGTATAGTCCTCTTTCACGCAAATCTCGACATAAATTTAAATTGTAATAACAATAATTTTTTGGCAGCCAGCGACCATTATTCATTCGTAGTCTGGTGGTTGATAGTTAGATGTTTGCAGTTAGGAGCATTGAAATCCATTTCAATACTTTTATATATAATTGACAATTCTGAACACAATTCTAAACGGTTATTAATACAGCTGATGATAAGTTAACGTTTTACTCTCAGATGATAATATCAACATTTCTTCCCTAAACGAAAAGTAATTCATTTGCATTAAACAATAAGACATCTTGAAACTCAATCATATCCTAAATAATTGGGAACTTACTTTGACATTAAGTGCTGGGATAGTTATAAGGCTATTTGCAAGAAGTATATCCTTTACAGGCACGGCCGACATATCTTTTACACACTAAGTTACAAATGAATATTGTTAAAAATGAATGCTGTAGAACTTAAAAAACCCATTAAGAAATTAGTAAACGAGTGACACATGCATAAACACAATAAAGGATGAAAGGTTTTGGCCAATAATCCAAGCTTGGAATAGTTGTCTAGCATTTAATTGCATTTAATTAACGAATGACTAAATTATTTTCCAGACTTCATAGATAAGTCTATGTTTCTTAAGTATACATAAAATTGATAATAATCATTCCAATCTTCTCGTCATTAATTACGTTAAGATTCAGTAGCTTTTATAATTCAGGCGAATTACCTAGAAAATTAGTAATTTCGTCATACTATGTCAATGTTCAATAGATGAGTACTAATTTCCATTTCTATATTTTTAATTGCTAGATCTTATTTCTTTTCTTTTCTCATTTTCATATCGTATGAAGCTAGAGGAACTAGAAAATGCCGAAGAAGCTCTCACTGAGGCTAATTATATTAATAATAGAAATCCAGAAGTTTGGGCTTATTTATCTATGATATGCTTAAAAACAAATCGATGTACAGAAGCCGAACAATCCTTTAAATATTGTATTAAAGTTAGTAACTGTATTTTATTTGTCATCATTCTAATCCTCTTATCAATTTAAGCAAACATTCGCCACAGACATACACATTTGAAATATATTGGGCTGTGGGGTGTCTGGAGTTCTGTCATTTCTATTAGCATTTTGAAACTTTTGTTTCGTTCATGAATCAAACTGTTTGAGGTAATTAAGATGCTTCAATGATTACAAAAGCAAGGATGCTTCTCGACTATCCAGATCGAGAATATCTGCAACATGAATTACTTGAAGCGAAACAAGCCATGATTTTTATAAATTCTTAGTCAAACAAAAACCTACTTAAGCTGGTAGCCGTTTTTCGGAAGCGGTACTAGATAAAGAACTAACTTCGTGCTAGGAAATCCCTATCTATTCGATAGTAATATATTGCCTTCATACACATTTTATATCTTAATGGTTAGACTACGGGTAATTTCTGAGAACTATTAATGGACTAATATTATATATATATATATATATATATATATATATATATATATATATATATATATATTGTATAACCGTTCAGTAACTAGATTATGTATATCTATATTCCTCTTATCAAAAGCTTCATTTTGACCCATAGATTATTATACGATTTATTGTTCTTAAGTTATGTGATGCGGTCCGTTTGGCTAGTATATAAACCAAGTACGTTTCAAATAAATGATTCGTATAGTGGGTGCTGTTATTGACGTTCTAGTCTCAAGTGGAAGGGCCAGGAAAAACAAGGCCCAATAAAGACGCTAGGCTACTCATGCCGGTCGAACGTCATTGGTTTGACACAGTACTAAAATTGTATAAGTCCTATTTCGATTGGCGAATACTTCACGTGATAACTAGCCGGCCTTAAAGATACAACAATACGCATCATTCTAAATTATTTACAAAAGTAGCTGATTACCTCATTTAATAAATTTACACAGACAAAAAAGTGAAAAAGTGGTGTAAACGTCTATTCAAAGGGTGAGAGTAATCATACCATTTTAATCAATAAAATATAAATGGGATGTTAGCAAATGGATGTAGCTTAGTATGGAAATTCTAAGAATCGGTTGGTCTCCAAGTAAAGGTTTTCGTAGCATAAAAGACATGGCAATGAATGTAACATCACAATCGAGATAGGAAACAGCTAAAAATGAGTAGATATACCTAGTGATCGTACTTGCGTGTTTGCGCTTAACTTTTCGATTTGGGATGTTAAGGGGAGAGACAGTTTGAGTAGCTGATTTCGATTTTTCAACAAGGTCATTCAAACATTACTGACTGTTCAAATGAATCATCAGGAGTTGTATTCGCTCAACTGGTTGGCTCCCCTTTTATTGAGAGAAGTGATGAGCTTTGCTCTGAATACCTTAAATTATCCGAAGTCTCTACAGAAACCAAGTTCAAAGGAGCACATCTTTGGTAGAATTACGAATTATCCCAACAAAATCAACGAATTGAAACAAAGTATCTTTCGATCCCATCAAGCGAATAGCTTCAACAAGTCAAATCAACAGATCGTGCTATGGTGCACACATAAGTTAAATAAATGTGACTACTTGTATAATTATTATGTTTTACAGTGAAAAGACCAAAGATCTTGTCTAGACCCATGTAGAATTGCCAGACATTAGTTTTTCATCATGGCTCTACACTAATACATATATGATCTACAATAATGAAATAATACTCATCGAGTGGATACGTTACGTAATAATTACATAATGACATTTCGATTATAAATTAAAATTGAGAAATTGGAAGAAAGGATTAATAATGATCAAATTAATTATTCGAAAATCAAGAAGTTGCTACGTTACATAATATATTGGAAAGAGAAGGAACAGAATATTTTGATGAGTGGTCAGTAGAATAGTAGCTATGTAATAATCAAGAGATGAATGTTGAGAATAAGCAAAATACAGAGTTCAAAAAACAAAATGAAATAAGTACGAAGACAGTTTATCAACGTTCTGTTACAGACGCCCCTATACCGATGGCCAAGGTAGCAAAAGTGGTTGTACAAACGTCTTTTGGATCCAAAGGTTAGATTTGTGAACATGGATTGCGATGGCTTCAGCAATGTGAAAAAGACGCACTAGTAAACCATATGGCAGGTTTGATGAAATATGGTAGATAACGTTAAAAGCTTTATGCAGTTCAACTTGATGACCTGTGTCAACCGAGTGAGCGAGAATAGAACTCAATCACTCTTACCTGTACTTTGTTCAACCACGACGGATGGTGCTCTGTTATACGATGACGAACTTGCTGAACTGCACGCCATGATGAAAAACTAATTGAAAAGAAATTTCTTCGCTCGATTCGTTCCTTTTTTACTTACCAAATCTCAAAATGGGAATTTTCACTATAAACATATGAGTACATTCAAGTTGAATATCGTTTTAGTTGATATGTCTATGTCCCATTTATAGCTAAAACATTTGGTGAGTTAATCGAAACAATTTCTTCCTCGTCATTGCATAACGTTGCATCCATATCGACGTTGGTAACTTACAAAATATGAAGGAAGGACATTGAGTGTTCACAGAAGTCCTTTATGGAAAATTATAATAACGCTAATCAAATTACCTCCTTCGTCTACTCGACTATGAGGAACCGCTAGGTGTTCTATGGCCATTTCTCCAACATACGAATTTAATATACGGCTTCCGATCTCTATGGAAATGAGAATCTCTCACCGTATAATGGTAGTACTTAGCCTTTTCATAAGTTCTAATGGCACTCTTTGACGCTTCAAGAGATTGGAACGCTACGAGATAAAATGTGCTCAAGAATAGGTTATCGGTTTCTGTGACGTGAGAAACGACAGAGCTTGTGCTTTGCACGTTACTACCGTCCATAACTGGAAGAAAATACGCTCTGTCGTCAAGTGCTGACATTTTATATCAACTTTAAGAAATAAACGACCGATTATAACAAATTTAAAACTAGCTATTTGATTGAACGAAACAGAATGAAAGTTATTGGAAGATGCGGATGGGAACATTTTTCAAAAGGGATGGAAAACAAGTTTTAAAAAATGGCCGTGCGATTAATGTTAACCGTAAGTGAAGCAATAAAGAAAATAACAGTAGATTTTATCAATTCACTTGTGAAAACATTTTCACTGATCCAAAATTCAATAGTAATATTAAACTTTCATTTTAGATGAAATTAAATGATACTGAATTGTTGAATGAAATACACACCCTTCAGATGGAAGTTGGTTGGGGCAATCCTCTTGCTTACTGGGTAACGTCTTATTCACAATGATTAATGGTTATAAGGAAAAAGAAAACAATAAATGTCTCATATTGAATACACGACTTTATTCATTATTTATGAATAGTTTTGTTTCAGTTTGATTGAAGAAGTGTAGAAATAATTTATGTTTCACTGAAGAAAACTTACATTTCGAAAACTTTTTTACTAAAGGTTGTACGATTTTATCCATGTGATATAATTTAATCTAATGAACAGGTTTTACTTTTTCATGAAGATATATATGATTATTTGGATTTGTAGAATGCATTTATTAATAATAATGCAAAATAAATAAACGGTTCGTTAATGACTTGAAAACAAAGTAGATGTATGAAACGAAAGATCTAAGACACAACTATAAAATAAGAGATAACGATGTGAATTTTGATGTAGGTAAATGGAGGTTACTAAAAACGACAATGATATTCGGTTAAGAGTAGTAACTTAATCATAATAGTGATGAGAATTGAATTCTAGTGAAGAAAAGGATAATGATTGAGATGCTATGATGTTATGGTCAGTCACATATTCCAAAACAGAAAATTTTGTAGTTCTGAGTTTTATTTTACTGAACAATGTGCTCTTTTAAAAGTTGAGAGAATTTCCTTGATGAATGACATACGTACCATGCATTACAAGAACAGGTGAACAAATATGTGCAAACATGCATATATAAACCTTAATGATTTAAATACACTAAAGTCAGGTATGAAAGTGGTACCTAAAAAATGTTCAGATTATTTATTTATTTGAACATATAAATACTGGTACAAAGGGGCACCAAATAAATATGCGCCACACAAGTCACTTGATTTGTATGTGGGCTATGATACTGTCCGGTTGTACAAACCGACTCTTTTACCGGGAATCGAACCCGGACCTTCCGCATGACAGGCGTAAATGCCACTATACTATCAAGGAAATATTTGAGTTTTAGAAAAAATACTTCATATAAAAGATCATTTAGTTTCTGATACACTAAATGCTATATGAGGCCCAGGTTTCCACTGGTACAACAAATGTCGACGGAGATTCAGGAATTCAACTGATGATTTACCTGATAAACAAGTTGGTAACGGTCAATCGAAATCATCTTACAATTTCGTCAAACACCAACCCACCACGGTTGATAGAACTTCACAGATAATTGAAGTGGCTGATGCACTCAGCTAATTCACTCCCTATAATTTGTTAAAGCATTGACTTAGACCAGTCCTGAAGAAATATTCTGCATTTGCAGTAATAGTGGGACGAATCACAAACATAGTCAGTAACAACGAGAAAAAATGTATTCAATTTGAAGGTGTATTCTCCAAAAAAATAAATAAGACGATTATAATATAAAAGACAAATTGTCAACTGAATGAAAAATGCTAAAAATAAAACAAGAAATTACAATTCAAAGAAATCATTATCAACTGTGTTTACTTCAATGATAATATATAATTATAACCATAGAAATAGAAAATAGGGATTAAATAGTCATAATAATAATAGTAAGAGTAAGTTAATCTTATGCATGTATGGTATTCATTTATTATTTACTAATCACAGTTTCTGGTGTAAATATGAAAAAAAATTAAATATTCACTTTGTCTTATTCACTGATAGTGATTTACGTTGAACTGATGACACACGCCAATTTTCAGTATGTTCAGCTAAACTATCATACCATTGATCCGGTAATAATGGAAAATAACTATGCAATTGATAAAGAAAACGTTCACGATATAAATCTGGTGTTAATATAGTTGGCATTGGACCTTGTGCACTAGTTATTGTTTGTTTAATAATCATTTCTAAACGTTTATCTAGTGTAAATTTACGTAGATAATCAATTAGACCAATAATAAGTTGATTAGTTGTTGTATCAACACCAACTAATAGAGAATAATCCATAATAAATAGATTCGCTAAAAATGCAGTATCCATATTTAGACAATGTGAAAGAGCATTCTGAAAATTAAGAAAACAGATAAAAGAACCAGGGAATAAATCTTTAAATGTACACACACGACAACAAGTTAAAACGTATTACTGCTATTAAACAGATATACCAAACTATCTTTCTACGCTAAACAGAGCAAATCAGATAAATAGTAAATGAGAATAATCTAAACTTTTGTATATGAATGCAAAAAAGTCCTGGTTAGTAAAAATTATTTATTAAATGGAGAAACGGAATACAAGCGTATATAACGGACCCGTGTTAGTTTACAGCTGACCATAGAGTTCATAGCAATCGAACGTGGAAAGTCTAAAGCTTATGTAACTGATAGCAATAACAGTGATACCTGAGAAACGAAGTTCATAAGTTCCATTTTCATAACAAAAGCAGTGAGAGATGTAAGAAAGAAGAGCAAACTCATAAACAGGAATGCATAATATATGTAGAATAATGTATAGGCTACAAATCCAATCAATCTACTTGAGTTTGCGGAGGTGGGTGGTAAGTATGAAAAGCAGTCAAAACCAAGTACACTGAAATGTACTTAGATAATTTTCTGTACGTTTACGTTTAGAGCAGAGATAATGAAAACATGAGAGAAAATCGAAATGAGATGTAAATAATTATCTCTGATACCTCTAAAACAAAATCCACAGGTACACAAAATACTTTCTAGTTTACCGAAATTTTGGTTAAATTGCACAGACTTTTAATAATCGAACTGTAGACATAACTTTATATACTTAAACTAATTTCCACTTTAAATACCTTCATAATTGTCCGAGGCTCAAGACTATAGGAGTGTCGATGGTCTAAAATTAAGTCAATAAACCAAGGTCATTGGCAAACAGTCTTCAATTAACTAAAAATTGTCTGGTTTATTAAACAATGTAAAGAGGTTCGAGCAGTGTTAAAATCAAACAATCGTCAATGAAAACTGTTCACTAATATAAAAAGGTTAATCAATTTTATTGCATTCCGCAGATAGCATTATTTATGTTAAGATTGCAGGAGCACCTTGCTGATGAGTGTCAAAAAGTGTGGAACCTACGTTCATGATAACTCGTACACTACCCCCAACTAATCAATCCATGATTGAATTCAAACAGCTCAGAGTATATATCTACCGCTCTTTTTATCGAGCAGGTAGATTTTTGTTCCCAGAAAGAAAAGTAGGATAGGCATTGAATGTGTTACAATAAATTATGTTGTAACGGGTGAGTGCAGGTTTTGATACGCAGCGTTTATTTATCGATCGATTCGGTGACAGTGGACACGTAAACATGTAAGGACGACCTAGTGCCCTGGTTGGCCCTGCCTCGCTGTCTGTCCTAGCCAGTTGAGTCAAGAACACTAGTCATAGCCTCGGAGTTATGAATCATTATATTTCAAACATACTTTGTTTATATACCAACCAAGCATACCACATCGTACCATAAAATAGGAAACAACATTTACAAAATATTTAACAAGTGAAATAAACATCGACCAATAAGAAATGTACATTTAAGGTTCAAGGACACCATTGGACTTAACATGATAATTATTGGTCTCTTTTTCCGACTATCCTAACAAATTATATCTCATAAAAAGCATGAACTACCTCATACATCAGTCAGAAAAATGTAAGACCTCAATTAATTTCGCATTCATATAGTGTTCCACTTAGCATTAAAAAATACAAAGAGTATAGTTATGAAATGTATCAATGGTTGTAAAAAAAAAACATTTTAAGATCTCTCAAGGAAAATTATTCTTCTAAGATGTGGGAGGGTGCCGATTGTCTGGCTTTTTATAACTTAACTTCGAGCTCACAGGTTGCTATGGTTATTTAGCTGGGATATTTATTTAAACATTATGCTGTTAACTAACGCAGATAAACTTCCACAAACAGAACGTGTGATTTTTGGTTTTAATCAAAGATGTCTGCATATAGAGGGTTTCAGTAGATGGACAAAAAGAAAAAAAACTTTATGATGAATGACATAAATCAACATTATATAGTTTGGACTAAAACAATAAAGCGCTGTGTCGAGTGCTTTGAAAAATTATAGTATTTTCCTACTAAAAAAATATTCGATCATTTTTGTTTAATGAATGGTGTTTAATAAAAGAGACTAACCTTTGAATGAACTCTTAAATACAACGGATTATCTATTGAAGCATTTAGTAAATTCTGATCTAGAAGAACAGGTACATTATGTTTAACTGTAGTTGTCTCTGAAGTCAAACCACTATCTGATACTGTTGTTGACTGATTGCATGTAAACGAGTGGTACGATGCAATTCCGGAATTAGTTGTACTTTCATCAGTTGTTTGTGCTAGATCTGTAGGCATAGTAGTAGAGTTTGCATTAACTCCATTATTGTTGATATTATTGAAGGATTCATCTACCAGTCGTTTACGTAGTGAGCCTTTCAAGTCATAAATATATGCCAGTTGAGTACGTCCATAATATAAATTTTCCATTACAAGTACATCGAATCGATGGGCTTCACCTGATGTAGAATTTTTAAATCCAACATGGAAAATGCCTAGTATTCTTGATAAAACACAAAGACGCTGTAAAAGGATTTTTTAAAACAAGTATAATTAATTAGATAGTTTTAAAATAATTGTCACATAAATCACAATAAAATATGTTATAAAGTGAGGAACTAGTGAAACAAAGTCAATTTATTAAAGTAAAAAAAATCACCACAAATGAACGTTTACGTTGATGTGGATGAAACGAGTGTAAGAATGAATGCTGTTCAGTAACTAGTATAGGGTTGTGGAGATTGTTGAGTTTTAATTAAGATGAAGAACCGATCAATGTTATACCACCATTGAAAACCTAGAAGCGCTGGACGGCCGTTTCGTCGTAGTATGTAACTCATCGGCAGTGCGCATCTACGATTCCGCACGCGAAACTCAAATCCAGGACCTTCGGTCTGGCACGCGAACGCTGTTCAGTAAAATAAGTCAAACATTACAAAACTGATGTGTGGCTATTGAAAGGAAATGTGATTGGCCACTAAGCGTGGACCAACAAACACTCAGTTTACTGTCTATTGTGCA